GGGGTTGTTGTGGCCAATGCAATGTTGTGGGTCCTGGTGGGCAACAAGCTGACCATTAGCCAGTAATGCAGCTCATGGCAAAGAAGGGCAGGAGCATCCTGTGCTGCTTTAGGAAGAGCATTTCCAGCAGGTTGAGGAGGTGATCCTTCCACTCTGCTCAGCCCTGATGAGGTCATATCTGGAGGACTGTGTCCAGTTCTGAGCTCCCCAGTGTGAAAAAGACAGGGACATGCATGAGCGAGTACAGGAAATGGACCGCTAAGATGGTTAAGTGGCTGGCACATCTGTGCCAGAAGTTGGGAGAGCTGGGATTGCTCAGTCTGAGGGGAAGGGAAGGCTCAGGCGGGGTCTTACCAATTTATGTAAATACCTGATGGAAGAAGATAGAGTGAAGAACAGGGAGCGAGCCTCCTCTTAGTAGTGCCCACTAGCAGGACAAGAGGTAACAGACACAAATTGAAAAGCATGAAATTTTATCTGAACACAAGAAAGCATATTTTTCACTGAGGGTAGTCAAACACTGGAATAGATTGCCCAGAGAGGTGGTGTAGTTTCTGTCTATGAGTATACTGGAAATTTTTATGACATGGTCCTGGGAAACCTGCTCTAGTTAGCCCTGCTTGAGCAGGGGATTAGACTTAGGTGACCTCAACAGGTCCCCTCCAACCTTAAAAATCTCTGTGATTCTGTAATGTATTTAAAAAAAAAAAAAAAAAAAAAAATCCCCACACACAAGCACACCCGCCCAAAAAGGAAACAAAAAGAAATAAAGAAAAACAAAATCAAACAAAAAAAAATCCCCAATGTTCAGACACACTTCCAGTTTTAAATTAACTGTACTTTATTAAATCAGATGTCTTTAAAAACACAGTTTTACTAGAGCTGTATTTTTTTTCTGTAGATGTTTCCTGATGTTGAAATGATAACTAATAGAAAAGATACCATTTATGTATCTGTGTCATATCTGGAAGATAGTTAGGTAGCCTGCTATAAAAACAGAGTTGCAGTGATTAAAATCCTTTTCCGTACTTGGTTTGTCACAACGCTTCCTATTTCTGTCATTAGATCATTTCTCTAAATTAAATCTCCTTTACTGAAATGAAAATATATTGGGTTTTTTCTATCAATTGTAGATATGAAGAACTGATACATTCTTCTACTATGCAGTGTTGTTCTATGTGTCTGAAAACTCTTATAGTCTCTCATTCTTATCTCTTTGAGACAAAACAGCTCTAATCTGGTTTGTTTGGTGTCGTCCCGTCCCCCCCCCCCCCCCCCCCCCGGTAGATTATGAGGGTTTTTAGACTTCATTGCTCTTTTCTGAACTTTGCCAAATGATCTTTGGGGCTGGATGTTCAAAACTGGATGTATGCACTTCTGCTGAGGCCTTTGTGAAGGTGGTTAGGCTGAGAGAATGTGTTTGTGAGGGCTGATAGTCTTGTTTATACCTCCTTGGGTAAATCTTCACGTGCTGGAAATCTGCTTCACATTGGCCTGATGTTGCTGATACAGACTGAGATAGTAATTCTCTGTAATGCCTAGGTCTTTTTCTGTATGGTTGTTAGATAGTTTTTCTTTTTTTTCCTGCTTTTATGGATTTTGATAGCTCCATGTAGTAGTCATTACAGCTTTCAGTCCTAATTCTTTTCAAAATATTTGTCTAGTTCTGAATTTTAGTGCTTACTAACATTTTATTTTAATACCAGGGTTTCTTACACTTAAAAAAGGAGCTCAGCTAATAAAGACAGTGAGAAAGAAAATATTTTGCATATTTTACTTGATTCTCATTTAAATTGGTGTAATTTAGACCAATTCATTGATCAAAGCTTGTAATTATCAAAGGATTTATACAGATACAAATGAAATCATAATCTGATCCCAAATCTGTATGTGATTTAAATGGCCAGTATGATAACAGTAATCTCTTTTCAGCAGTTGCTATAGTAACTTCAGTAGTGCTTTTTTAGTTAGTCTGAAATATTTTCAATTATGAATAGAATACACAACATGTTAGTAAATATATATGAGCAAAAACTTAAGCACAAACTTAACTACCATTTAAAACAGTATGTCTAGTATTGAAGTCAGATTTAAAAAAAAGTGTCTTCAATTTTTAATTTTAGTGCATGGACGATAACAGTTTTGTTCTCCAGTCACGTTGCAGACTAGGTTGCTTCATAAGTATTATGAGACTTGGAATGCCTTTCTGCTCAGATTATTAATTAATCTTTACTTACAGTGTTCTTGCACCCTCCACACAAAACTCTCATGAAGGGTTCATGTGTTATTGATACCACACTCACTCCGTGTTGTTTTCAATAGGAAGAATAGGTAGAAAGGTCAAAGATAAAAGCTACTGAAATGTCAAGGATAAGCCTGCAAGACGTCCTTTCATTTTAAATACCGTTTCCAGATATATGTTAAACTTTAAAAAAGAGACTGGGGATGGCTGAGTACGTGGAAAATAGTTTAAGATTATTTTTAACCCAGCATTTGAAACTGTGTATAGTAGCTGATGTGTATAGTAGCTCTTGAGTAGATGAAGATTAGAAAGATTGGTTAATAGTAGATCTTGTTATTAGCATAAAAGGAGCAGAACATATATACTTACTAGAGCTGCAACAGCAAGCCAATAGTATTTACATAATTTCTGTGCTTTCAGTCTTCATCTTTCCCATGGTATTTGGTAGCTAGCAAAAACATGTTTGTGGGATACCTTGTTCATTCCTGAATACCAGATTTTTTTTTTGTCAGTTTTACACTGTGTTGCATATTTCATTTTTTGACACCTACAATTTCATGGTAAGTAAACAGCAGATCTATATGTGGCCATTGACAGTAATGTGCATCATTTTAGAAGCATTTTATAACCTGCCCAAATCCCTGCTCACTGTGGTATAATATTTTGGATATGCACTTAGTAATTCGCATCTGTTCCCTTTGCTGTTTTCTTTTGTTTATATGCACTTCAGTTTGCAAACCTCATCACATTGGTGAAATGGGATGGAGGATGTTTTTTCTTTAAGCAAATAGCAACATTGTAAAATGCTGCTACCTTTTATCACCTAGTAGTTAATAGAACAAGATCTCCATGTTGACACCAGTATGATAGGAGAATCTTTACTATGTATTGTTTAATTTATGATTGAAGTACTGCAATATTTTTAGTTGACTGGTTTGCTGAACAATTTTTATATCATGGTGATTCTATAGACAGGATAACCATACCAACTGAATCACCAGGGAATATGTTTTAATGTATTTTTTTCAGCTGTTTTTCTCTGATTATTTTCTTAGGAAAAAAACTCTCTTTTTTTCATTTCTCCCCAGTCAATCATAGTTGTCCTGATGATCAGTTTAAGTGCCAAAATAATCGCTGCATTCCCAAGAGGTGGCTTTGTGATGGAGCTAATGATTGTGGTAATAATGAAGATGAATCAAATAAAACCTGTGCAGGTAAGATTTTACTTGGTTGTGCATACAAGTTCTCTAACTCCAGTTCCATAAACAGTTCAAGACTGCCCTGAAGTGAACTGAATCAGTCTGCTACTAGTAATCTGATTATTGCCATTTTAAATTAATTCAGATTTTGATGCCACTAAGGCTGGAATATAAATTATATTTTACTTAATCCTTACGCTTGACTGAGCTTTCCAAAGTAATTCAGCCCTTAATCTATCCATATGGGTTGACTGTCAAAGTACTGCGTAGGTACAAACTTGTCCCTACTAAATCTTTTTGGCAGTTAGAATTTTGTTTGTTAACGTGCTGTGATGAGTGCCATGTCACTAGTAAATTTTATTTTATGCTGACAAAAGCATAATTAGTTATCCAGTTTCCCCTTGGTAGCTTGAAACTGTTTTCATTTGTAAGTTATTAACTACATAGTGGCTTTTTAAGGAAATACCAAGATGAAGATTGTTAATACTTATTACACTGCAATAAATCATGGAGTTCCAAATCTGTCCTTTGCTTGTATGGAAGTGATGTTCAGTGCTAGTCTGTAGAGTACCCTAAACAATAATTAAATATCTGATGTACAAAATATCAGGCATCAATAAGCTGATGACTATTTTAAACTGAAATGCAGTGATAGACAGCTTACATTGTATATTAAAATATTCCCTGGACTTATTTTCCTGAATTTAAATTTTCATGTGTATAAGAACCTGTTCTGGCTGTTACTTGTGCGGTTTGGCTAAAAGCAGCCTAGCACAAATGCAGACCTATAGTGTCCATATTGCCTCTACAGTATTATTGCAGATTGTAATGCATCTTGATATCCTTTGATATTCAACTTTTTGCCTGTAGGATAAGAGGCTGATTTGAAGACCATGTTTTGCATCCGTATGTCATTTGGCTGTGGGTTGAATTTTGTATTGGTTTTCGTTCTGTTCCTGCGGTGGCAAACACTATTTATGTTTAAAAAAGTACTACTTTGAAATATTTTAAACTTCTATTCCTCTGTTGTATTTTGGCCTATTTCTGCGAAGAAAAAGGAAAATGGTGTATAGCAAATGAGGAATTTTTTTTTATTATTATTGGGGTTTCTAACGTATCAATCATTTTTTTAACATGTGGAATCGCCTATAGATGAACTCTAGAAGCCTAAATTTGGAATCAAAATCTGTGTCGCTATCACTGGTATTGTAGTTGTGTTATGTTTTGAATAAACAAAATTTTAAGTAATGTCAGCTTTATATGTTATATTTTTATTGAAGTTTTACTGTTCATCAGCTTTCAAAGTAATTTATGTAGTTACATAGCATGATTCCTTTCAGTGATCTTTATATCTCCAGAAGACAAACATACATCATTTCCTTTAATGGATCATTACAGTTGCGTATTTGTAAAGGCAAAGATTCTAAGAACAGTGAGGCCACGCACATCACACGTGCTATATTACCATTTTTCTCTGTAAATAAGAATCTCACTAGATCATTGTTTATGTTATGAAATACAACTTGTTAATATTCCGACTCGGTTAGATGTTCTTATGGCCTCATTTTTGTTTATTTCAACTCTAGTAACAATGTTATTTTATCAAACATTAATGCTGTTCTACTACATAGTTTTGCATAATTACCTATAAAATTTCATGTTCTCATATGTTGAAGAAACCACTAAGAATTCTACATAACAGAGGTAGAACACAGTCCTGCAGCTGACCTCAATTTTCTCTGAAATCAAAGGAGGTGAATGATGTTTAGTCAGATCAGGTAAAATGTGCAGAAGGCCAGGAGATGCCCTCTAGACCTGCAACTTCTACATACAGATATGAACCAAGAGACCTAACAGATTTAGTCCATTTCCCATGCATTTTTGGAGTGTTTTGTCTTGACAGCAAGAACATGTCAGGTTGACCAATTTTCTTGTGGGAATGGACGCTGTATTCCAACATCATGGCTGTGTGACAGGGAGGATGACTGTGGAGATGAAACTGATGAAATGACATCCTGTGGTAAGTAAATTTTCTTTTTGGGAAAAAAGTAAAAATACTCTATAAAAAGTTAAATGTATGAGGGTCTCTTTGCATGTGAACTGACAATAGAAAAAGTATGAGGGGCAGTTTTGTTTCTATATGAGCTGATAATATTTTATCTGAAATGGCAAATATAATTTATTTGATTAATAAACAAACCCAAAGTAAACACTGCATTTTCTATTAATGAGTTTTTAAGTACAATACCAAACATGCAGATCATGTACAATACCAAACATGCAGCAGTTTCTAAATTGCATCCCCTTGTCAAGTGCTGTTACCCTCAAAAATTATTTATTTCAGCCACATGCCTCTTCACATGGGCCCCCTCACCATATTGTAGATGTCAATAAAATCAGACTGTTTCAAGTTGGAACAGAAGGATATTTTGATGTTGTATTTTGCAGAAAAAATTAGTCTTTCTTGGTTGTATCATGAGAGAGTATCAGCAGCTCTGCTGACTACTGCTTTACTGAGATATTGCAAAGAGAGGTGCACTTTGTCTCATCAGCTGCTTCCAAACAATTAAGGTTTTTACAGCTCAGCATGACTGCCTTCATCTGTTTGGCAGGTCACAGGTAACTGCTGTGATTCTGAGAGTAAAAGGGTCGATCAGCTGTCTGCAAAATATTGTATCAGGTTGTTCTCTGTTTACAAGGTAATATTTGTGATATTATTTGACTTACTAATATGAATTAGTGAGTCAAATACTAATATGAATTAATAAGTGTGTCGCAATGTAATAGGATGTGTTTCTGAAATGACTTCAAGAGTTTTCAGGAAAGAATGCTGCCTGATTATTTTAGTAGCATCAACCATCTAACCATGAAGTGACAGGTTGCACACAAAAAAAATAAAAGCTGAAGTGTACTTGTTAGGATACTTAGTATAGGTAGACCTGTATTTTTCTCAGATATAGCTGATATTCTAACTTGATTCACTGTTACAAAAATACATTCTTTCTTCATCAAAATCAAACTATGAAAGCAATGTAGTTGATAAAAACATTACCTTTTCTTTGCTTTTTTGAAACTTCTTACTGCTGTAAACTTTTTCAGTAGAGTTATTGGAGTTCTATTACTGAAAACAGCTTTTCTGCAAAGATCTCAATTCCTACAAAGCACTTGCAGTGGAGAACGAGAAAAACAGAAAGAAAATGCATAAATGAAAGTCATAGGCTGACACCATGATGCCTCGTGTTACATAAACATACATCTCCAGGACCTCAAGTACTAGAGAATTTTAAAGGCGGCAACCGTGTAGGATCCAATCAGTAAATTCTGTTGACCATAATACCTTAAGTTTGTTCAATTTTTAACTATTAATGACTGGCAACCAGCTAATACCCATTAGTTGAGTTTACATTGTTACTTTTTAAGTCCGTGTGTAATTCTGAGCATCTTCTATAACTGCATTCAAGATTTTTACGTGTAGACAGTTGTTATGTTTCCTGGAATATTCACTTGCTTTCTCTTACTACTTTCTTCCTCTCTCTTTTAATACTGATATAAACCAGAAAAAAGAAAGCTAATGTTATATTGGCAGTAATTGATATCTGATCAGTTACTTGAAAATAGATGATGTTTGATAAAATCTAAATCAAAATAAAGTGAGTGAAAATGAGCATATTAAGGTAGACCTTTTAATTGCCATGTTTCAAATTGGGTAAATTGTTGCATACTGAGGTAGAATAGCTCATCCCACTGGGCTCACTGTATTTTACAATCTCTGAAATGATAACAGTCTATCTAATGGTACAGTGCGGCACTTTGTACTGTAATAGTTTATCTGACTAGCTGTACCTTGTGTTCTTAGACACTCTATCAATATACAGATACTAATGTCACCTTTTTAATTTCTTCCCATGTGTCTTGTATGGTGTCCTTTCAGTTGATCTGGAATATTTCTTCAGATCATTTAATCAGCATTTATTTCACCTGCTGTTTTTCAGTTTGGCCAAACTTCACACAGGTTTCATGTTTTAGAATCTTGTTTATCCTTGAGCACTGTGTGTGTGCAAATATGTAAATTTTTCATTTTTTCATTCTGCTTTATAATTTGACAGCTAATAAGCACTTTAATGGCATTTATTTAGCTATTCTATTTATTGTTACGTATTTTCTTCTATAAAGCAGTTTAAAATTCTCTTGTATTCACAAGTTTTTGTATTGGAAGCAAAATCATGGCATGCTTTTTGTTACCATTGCAAATCATTGATTTTTTTAACTGCATCAGTCTTCGGCTATGAATAACTTTTGGCTCCTGTTGATTCAAAACCTTAAGCATACTTACATTGGTGGATATCTGGGGTGAGCAGGGTGGGAAAGATGATGTCAGTATCATAGTGTTTACACTTTTTCTTAAGATACAACCAGATTTACTAAGAAGCATGACATTTCCAAAGACAATCTCAAAAGAGATCCTCATTTTCCTACTGTTTTCTACTGCTTTCCTAAAGGAAACAAGACGTGGTTATTTTTGTGTCCATCTGTTTCTGTTCATTTTCGTACCATTTGCAGTTGGTAACAGAAGGGTAATAGTATCGAAGAACTGGAGTTTTTACAAGACTGCTGGGTAGCAGAGAGAAATGTGATTGATGTCTACACTGTGGAGAAACTTCACTGTGTTCTCAAGAGGCACCTTTCTTGCTTTCTCAGTCTGCAGAGCAATCGGCACAGGGATGGCTGTGAATCAGCTACAGAATGTGCATCTCTGCTGCAAAACAGGGAAAGGAAAGGGGTACCGGGGGGACCATAGGGACAATGAGGGGGACTGACCTCTAGGATGTGAGAGGGAGCTGTGGATGATGGTGGAGGCTGGGGCTCTGAGAAGCAAGCAGTAGAGATAGTGAAAAACATCCTTACAAAGACTGTGGTGGGCTGACAATCATGAGATGGAAGGTGGTAGGGGTGAGGATAATCACAATTTATTTTAATTAGCTTCTCTCTCTTTATACAGGTCTTGGGTAGGCAGATAAACTTAAAGAAAATAATCATGAAGTCATTCATGTATGGAAAAGGGGGAAATTACATTTAATATACAAGTTAAATTTGTAGAAAATTATTGAACAGCTATAAAGTGAAATTAAAAATTGCTTAAAAATTTGCTTGAAACATGGCTTATATAGTAGCTAAGTACCATCGTACTTGCACATCTACCTTATTTGTCTTGGAACAGTTTTTTCTTCTCACTGTAATGTTGGTTTTTATTTAAAAAAACAAAACAAAACGAACCACCTTTCTAGGAGTAATTGACAAAGTATTGTCATCAGTGTTAACTTTTCTTCCCACCCTTTTTTTTGTGTTGAAGTAGAATAATAATCACTTCAGTCTTACAATGTTCGTGGTGATTTCTAAATTTCACTATTTGATGCAGGTGGTTTGGTTTGGTGTTTCATGTGTGACTTCTTTTAAACCAAACTTTCCCTGAGCTTCTGAAAAAAAAAAAAAGAAACAAGCTTTTGAACTACCTGTGAAACATTTGCTTCACCAAAGACTGCAAGAGACAGCAAACCCAAGTCAGAAGTTCATTGACTAAATAGTTGTTTTTCCTTAAGGAAATGTTATGTTTATTCAGCATGTTTTAAAAGTTTAGAAAAACTCTTCAGTACAGACTAATTACATGGCCTGATTGTCAAAGTATTTTTCAAGTTTAGCTTTGTCAGCCCAGTTTTAACAACACTAGAACAACCCCATGTAGTTAGAGCAACCAAATAAGGAAAATACTTGGAGATTTGTTCTAAACAAAATTCAAGTTTTTCAACATAATTCAAAACTTGGGCAGTTTTGATGTGGCTGACAGGACTATGCACCATCTTGGACATTTCTTTCTGTTGCATATAGTATGTACTGTGAACTTTCTGCCTGAAATCCTTCAGTGAAGGACAAACTTGCCTTTAAGTAGCAGTTCAGGCAGATTGTTCATGTTGTCATCTTTGGTTTACACTAGGTATCAGTTACTGAGAGACACCTTACTCTCTTGATGGTCTAGGCAGAGCTCCTCCTCATTCCTTTTAAATCAAGTTACTTTCAGATTGTTTCCTATGAATGGCCAGGTTTTGTAAAGTAGATCTTGTATTTTCCAAACTGAATGGGTACAAGTAGTATTTAACATGTTAGTGGTATGAATGCACACACCTAGCTATGTCATTGCTTTCAGAAGGAAAAGTAGTCTGAAAAAACTCAAGTTGTTTTATGCAGAAGCATATTGGACAATTATAAAAGCAAATCTTTGGGTGTCTCTGAATTATATTGTTTCAGTTTTCTACTACTTTTACTGGAATACTACTTTTACTGGAATACTTGGAGGAAATTATTGTAAATTTTAATTTTGGATTTTACTATTTCCATGTACAGTAACTTTTCTTGACTATTCTTTTGCTTAACCTTCTGATTTTATAGTCTTCCATTTCCTGTCTTTTACTGTCAGTGTTACTGCAATTTTTGTAGAACTTTTTTTTATATAAACAAACATATTGAAAATATGGTTTGTATCAGTCATAAAGCTACAATTAGTCATAAATATTAGCCTGCTTAATGGCAGACAGCCCTGGTCTGATGGGAATATAGGACCATGTCATGTGATACAGAATAATGCATTTCAGTGGTCCGTGTTGAAGAAGGATAGGGTTTGGACTGGTATTTACAGTTAAAAGCCTTTTTATCCTCTCTTTTGGTGTCTCACCTTTTTCGCCTCTCCAGATTAAGTATGTGGCAGGTGCAAATCTTTGATACAATACACCTGTGTAATTTATGCACATAGGAGAGTGGAAGAATATTACTAAAGAGGATATACATTAAATAGTTTTTATTTTCTTTTGAACACTTTTGCAGAATTCCCAACATGTGAGCCACTAACTCAATTTATATGCAGAAATGGAAGATGCATTAGCAGCAAATGGCTATGTGATTCAGGCAAGTATCAAGTGTTCTATATCTGAAACAAATATGGTAGATTTACATAAACATTGCATTGATACTCTTTTCTTCTGAGATTGATATTGCCAGCTTGGCTTGTAAGTTGTCAGAGAATATAGCTGTTTGTTTTTTTTAAATACTGCCCTGATCTTAAAAGCAACAATATTGGCACATCATATAAGGAATTATGCAGTGGATATGGTAATAGTTACAAGCAGCATATTCTGTAGAATGAAGTGTGATGTAAACTTTCATTATTTAAAAAAAAGCTATGCTATCACGTATGAAAATATTCTCTACTTTTAGAAAACAGTGACCAAAATATCTGGGTTTTTTGTTGTTTGTAGGCAAGTTCAATTTAACAAATAGCACCCCTCAAGATGGCAGGACAGGAAGACTTCACAGTGTAGTAATTTCTTTTGACTGAAAGAATAGATATTTAAATGACAACTGTTTAAATTAATCTTTTCTCAGAACATGTGATCTGGGAGTGATGTCATGCCAATCCTAATAACAATGGGTTGGTTCTTCATCCACCATAGCATTTCATATTACTATTGTCGTGGTTTAGCCCCAACCGGCAACTAAGCACCACACAGCCGCTCATTCACTCCCCCTCCCACAGTGGGACAGGGGAGAGAATTAGGGAAGAAACCTCGTGGGTTGAAATAAACATGGTTTAATAGGACAGAAAGAAAGAAGGAAACAACAACGATAATACCAACAAAGGAAAGTACAAGAACAAGTGATGCCCAATACAGCAATTGCTCACCACCCAGTGATCGACAGCCCGTCCCCGAGCAGCGATTTCCGCCCCCCGGCCAGCTCCAGTTTATGTGCTGGGCATGACGTCGTATGGTAGGGAATATCTCTTTGACCAGCCTGGGTCAGCTGTCCCGGCCGTGTCCCCCCCAGCTCCCCGTGCACCCCTAGCCTGCTCGCTGGCAGGCCAGCACGAGATGCTGGACTGTCCTTGGCTGCTCAGCATCAACCCAAAACATCAGCACACTATCAACAGTTTCTCATCCCAAATCCAAAACACAGTCCCGCACCAGCTTCTGTGAAGAAAACCAGCTCTATCCTGGCTGAAACCAGGACAACTATAATTTTATGAGGCTGACAGGAATTCATAGCTGTAAATGGACAGATTCCCCAAATTATCACAGTGTGCTTACTGAAATTCTGTGCAAGGAGACCCTTTAGTGTTTACCTGACATAATTATCTTCTCCTTCCCTTGGTGATCCCATGCAAATTATGGGAATTGCCTCAGGATTGTTGTAATGACTACAACATTAGAGTAATCAGAAACTACATTCCACCGTTATTTATGTGCTGCGGTGCTTTTTCCATCTTGCGGGGTTGCAAGTGCATGGAAACAACATTTGTAATACTACTGAAAAAGAATTCTGGCATCAGGTTTTCATTTTGGTTTATACGATGCTCTTTGTGTCTGTACTTAGACAGTTGACGTAATGGATCACTGAGAATAAGGTATAACCACAGTGTTTGGAAGCCCGTGTAGTTACACATGACTGAAGAAATGAAGCAAATCTACAGCTTTCTCATGCTTGCTGGTGACTGACTGAATAACTGTAAATAGGTATTAGGGGTTAGACTATCCAAAATGATAGAGGGTTAAGTGCTGTTGGTAAATTCGAATTAAGGCATTACTTGCATTAGGAATAATTTTACCATATGCCCGTGGGCAGTAAACACACTATTTATTGCATGTTATTCTTCTCTTGAATATTTGGAAATATCTTTTTCTCATTACCTTTTTTATTCAGATTTTTTATGTTTTCAAATAATAAAAAAATAATATTTGCAGATGACGACTGTGGTGATGGAAGTGATGAAGTAGGCTGTATTCACTCATGTTCTGCTGATCAGTTCAGATGTTATAATGGTAGATGTATCCCAAGTCATTGGGCGTGTGATGGTGACAATGACTGTGGAGATTTCAGCGATGAAAGCAAAACAAACTGTAGCAAGGAAGGTTAGCAATTTTTTTCTTTCCATATTTTAATACTTATAAACACAGAGAATACCTTATTATAAATACAGAGGACCTGTCTTCAGTCAATGGAAAAGATAAAATGCTTTTAACCTTGGTAAAGGTTGGAATGGAAAAAATGTCAAGTGTAATACAATAATACAGAAGTATATCATAGAAGAAGAATGCATTTGAAAACAAGATGGGTATTATACTGAGATAAATTTTGTAGTTTACTGAATTATGCTAAACGTGATGTTTGTCCTTTTACAGAGATGCATGCTGCCTAGATAAAGAAGAGACAGTAAACAGCATTCCTTAAGTTGCCATTTATAATTTCAGGGGGTTTTATGCAGTAACACTCATTTTTGTGTGAATCCAGGATTTTAGGTTGTTTTTTTTAGTAGTGCTGCTGAAGCATAAAAATATTTTAAGAAACTACAGTCCCATTTAAATGCCATACACTGTATTTATTTGGTTGGGGACAGAAGTGGAGGAAGCTTGTAGCAAAGGATAAAGAATAGTCAGATAAGAATGGAATATTTTTCTCTCATATTTTCCTCATAGTGATTTTTCCACAACAGAGTAATTGTATAGAATTTTATTGGTTCTTTTTCATTAATTTATATTCTAAATTCAGGCTGCAGACCTCATACAAATAGATGAGTTTAGCAGAATTCTGTGCATGAGTAAAGTCCTTAATTTTTGTATATTACAAAATTTATTACTATTATTAATCTGTATCAAAATAACTTGTTTGGAACTAAACTCACTTCCTCCCTATTCATGTCCATCTCAGAGCTTAAAGTCCCGCGCTGCCTTTTTATACAACACCGTATTATGTTGGGATTTGCACCACTGTCTCTGAAATAGCACTGTTGTACAAACTGACAATAACTGTGTAAATCTACTGTGTCCTGCTTTGCTACATGATGTACACTTATCCAGCAACTTGTCTTTGCTGTTCTGCAAGAATGCAGTTTATTTAGGAAAAAAAACCACAAGGCAACTTTTAATAAAATAAACCGTATCGTTATAGATAGTGCTAATAAGAATTTGTTCAAATTGTGCTTCTTGGTACAAAGAGGAATGTGTAAGTTTAACATTATTTTGAAGTACATGTTATTTTTGTTAGTAAGTTATGAAATACAGACGTTACTCATAATGGTAATAGTTTGGGAAAAAGAGGACAAGAATGAAATCGAAAAGGACATAATCTAGAAAATACATAGGGAATTAAGTCTGTGATGAATAGTTAAAATCACATAGTTATTGTGTTTTGAAACATTCAAAACTAACTCCATAGCTGTGCTGAACTGAAGTTCATTGCTGTGGAATTCAGAAAGGCTACAACTAGTCTGCCAGTGCTGTAATAGTACAAGACAGGAAGGTGTCGGGGTCAGAACTCTTGTGTCAGAGCAGAGGTGTGACTATTCATGTTTTGTGAACTAGGAAATGGCCCTTGTTGGAAGAAAGAGGAGAATGAAGAAGGAGGAGGGAATGTAGCTTGAGGGTGAGAGACGGGGCTTACGAAACACCAGGAAAAACTTCATCAGCCTTGGCCCTCCTTACATCTCCAAATTCATTCTTGTCTGACAGCTGTGCAAAAAAAAAGTAAAATTGGTGTTTACCTTGAGCCTCTGGTGGAAGGGGAAAGTAAAGGAGTGAGCAGGGTAAGAAAGACCTTGTCTGAAGCTTGTGTTGGAGTGATGAGTTAGAAAGGAATAGTGAGTTTTGAGTGTTATACATGGGAACTCTGATTTTGGCTTTAGTTAGGACGGACAACTGGCATGGAAAAAAACTCATGTGAGCAAGTTCTTCAATGTAATTCTTATTTTTCTAAGAAACTCCCTCTCCTGGAAGATGCAACGAGAAGGAATTTCAGTGCAGTCCTGATGGGAACTGTGTTCCTGAGTTGTGGCGCTGTGATGGAGAAAAGGACTGTGAAGATGGCAGCGATGAAAAAGGGTGTAATGGAACTATACGACTATGTGATGAAAAAACAAAGTTCTCCTGCAAGAGTACAGGTATATGTTTGCAGATACGTTTTGCTCTCATTTACTTGGTGTTTGTGTGATTTGGTCACGTATCTACCATATGAATGCTGCTTTTAATGTTTAATACTACTGAGGTGATGTTACTTACTGTACTCATACCAGGAAAATAATATTAATATTCTTCCCCTAACCTGTTTTCTGATTTACAATATTAAATGAATGGGTTTTGAGATTACTTAAAGCTGAAACTGTTTGGTATGATAGTACATCAAACCAAATACTTAAATGTCGCATTTAATAGTACTTCAAAGTCCAGGTATTTTCTTCTTTTTTTTCCATCTTTGGCCCTAGAAGTAAGTTGATTGAAATGGTATAAAGTAATTAGCTAGAAGACTTCAAAGAATTTGAACTACATCATTGGAAATTCAAACAGCAATATTGGAAGAAAAAATACATTCTTTGAGAAGGCTTGAAATCAAATTTTGCTAAGTATACTTCACTAAAAGACATGAAAAGAATGTGACAATCTTAACATTGGATTATTTTGCAAAATAATGCTTAGACAGAACATTTTCTTAAGGGACAGTCCAGTTAAGGGAGAAATTAATATATGTCAGTGTTGTATTAATCTTTTTACAATTTCTTTCGAAGCTTAATGAAATATTGGGGGTAAAATAACTTAGAGGCAAAATTTAATTCAGGATATAGTAAGTAGTAATATTGCTGCCATTAGACACCTATAATTATTACAGGAAAGGAGAATCCATTCTAATGCATGTGTTATAGCTAAACATGATAAACGTGCAGTCTAGTTATGTGAGCTCTGTCCAAAAGTACTTGTGAACATATATGGATACAGTAAGATACCTTATTCAAATCTACAGTGTGAGCAGAGTTCATTTTTAATACATGAACTACTTCAGTATGTCTTAGAAATACTTGGAGGCTTGCTGCTACTTGGATTTTATAGAAATCATAATGTCTGGATAAATAAACATGGAATACTGAATTTCATCTAAACAAAACATTTCTTCTTGTTTTCCTACAGTTTCCATAAAGATGTATAGAACAAGTAGCTGTTAAATAAAATAGCTTCAATCGGTAAAAAGGGATTATTTACTTTTAAAAAGAATGGTCTGTTCACTGAAATAGACTGCTAGAAACCCTGACACAGGAAATACACTTCTTCCTGATACACTCTTTTTCCTAGTGCTTAAATAGGAAAAAAAGTCTCAAACTATGTTGCTTCGTTCTACACTTACCTATGTTTACAGTTGTGCACAAGGAAGGCAAAATCTCAGTCATTTTACTGGATGAAGGATGAAATGTGACTTCTCTAGCTGTCACATATAAATACAGGAAAAAAAATATTTTAATCAAACGTGCTAAATTCAAGGGTACATAGCTTTGTTTTAGAGGAAAATGCAGTCATGCGTATTGGTTGTGTGGAAACGTCACTTTAGGAATCACTTATGACAGTTTCATTCATAATTTTTTCTTTCACTATTTTCCTTCTATCAGTCCTGGAAGGAGCAAAACTGCTGTTCTGGAGCAGACATGTTAGTAATGCATTGGAACAGAAAACAGCAAAAGCAAATTTTTGTTTAGCTACTTTTCAGTTTAGTTCCATATAGCGGGACAAATGACTAATAATGGTTTATGAGAAATAGTTTCTGTAATGATCCTCTCAGGTTTCAGAGTAAACGTAATTTTCTCTGGGAATTATTCTAAAGAAATAATACTGTCTGGCTTCCACATTTATGAGAATTGTTCAGATGAGGAGAAATTGGCTAATTCTGCCCTTATAGATTGCTAGGTGGTATCATCTGATTTCCTGATACAGAATATGATGGATCTGGGTAGGAGCATGTGTATTAGGGGAGATGAAACAGCCAATACATTTTGAGGGAAATGACAGTTGGTAAGAACAGTAATCGTGAAATGTTACTGCCCAGTTTTTTGATTACTTCTTATTTGTTTTATGGCTGTAAATAGTAACTGCAGGGTCTTTCATTACTGTATTTTTCATTGGCTCTGGTTAATCTGTCACAATGCCAGAGGCATGTGTGTCATGTTACAATTACATTTGTCAGCCTTCAGCCAAACATGATTCTTCCAGTTACAGTAGTTATTTGATCTCAAGAATTCACCATATCCAGCCCCTTTTCTGATATGCATTTAAGAATATGCAGTAGAGGGTATTCTATAACTTACATAGACCCCCTTTTCTGATATGCATTTAAGAATATGCAATAGAGGGTATTCTATAACTTATATAGATGGACTTTTAGTAATTCACCTCTAATAGTTGAACGTGTTTTCCTAATAAGTCATCTGAATCCTTGCTGGAAACTTCATTTATTGTCTTCATCTTTTCACCAGGATAAAAATCTTTTGAATATTGAAAGACTTTTGTCATATGTCCACATTAACCAATTTTTTTTGCTGAATAAACAAATACTTTTTTTTTTTCCCCTCTTGAATGCCTTCTATTTTTATTTTGGATTTTTAAACCTTTAGTATTTTCGTTGGTCTCACTGGAACTGTCTGACCTGTGTGGTTCTTGAGCTGCAGTATCCAAAGTCAGACAAAATGCTGTGGGACCCTTGAGTTAAGAGGTTTCAGAATGACATTTCTGATTTTTTCAAGAACATCACACGGTTCTTCGTGGTGATGCGTGATAAATTTTATACGAAAGTTTGTGAAACAATAGGATATGAGATGCAGTAACTACATGATTGAGATTGACTACTGTTGGATTTTCACCGGGATTTTTATCCTGGTGAAAAGATGAAGACAATCAACTAAGCTTCCAGCAAAGATCCTGCTTCTAGCCAGTTATTTTCTGTTTTTAAATTAGACTAGACTAAATTAGATTAGATTAAGATCCAGCTTCTTATTTTAAATTCTGATTCTGTCCTCCAAAAATTATTACAGACATGTACTTGGACTCAGTTTTATGTACTACAGAAATCTCTAATTTTTATTCCATCTTCAGACTTTACAGTTAGTAGTACTGGACCAAGAGCAGAATCTGGGCAATCTCACTTTAAAAGTTACAGTTAGTAGTACTGGACCAAGAGCAGAATCTGTGCAATCTCACTTCAAAAGTTATCTAATTCCTCTAATGATCATAATCAAGTACTTTCGTGAAGACAAATGCAGAAGAGCCATGAATACCTCAGTTTAGTAAGCAGTAGATCTGAACTGTATTGTGTATTTGTCATACTTACTGCTTTTTATGTTTCTTTCAAGAAGCAGTTAATTTTGTATCTTATGATTTTTAACGCTACCCTGTGGGCTATTATTTTGTACTTCTCTTTTCTTACATGTTAATAATACACTAGAGAGAAAAGAAGGCTGAGGGAAGAAGTAGGATTTCTTTGGAATGGAATATAAGGAATGTACATAGAGAGGAAAAAGTCAAGGGGTGATCATCGCAGTGATACTGGAAGAGGAGGGCAGCAGCAATAGTACTGTCGGGATGGAGAGTGTAAGTCAAATACAAATATGTGACAAGTAGAGAAAAACAGAAGTTGATACTGAGGAAGGCTGGGAAGGAAGGGTTTTTGAGAAAGATGAGGAGGAGGAGGAGGAAATTGCCTTACAGGAAATTGCCTTCTCTGCCATAAGGATTATATGTGGGCTGATAAGGAGGAAAGAAGGGTTTTTGAGAAAGATGAGGAGGAGGAGGAAATTGCCTTCTCTGCCATACGGATTATATGTGGGCTGATAAGGAGGAAAGGGTTACTGTGGAGATATGGCATGAGAGGAGTTTTGGAAGGGAAGAAGATTTAGTAAGAACATAAGAATGGGAAGCATGGAGAAGTTCAAAGAGTGGGTGGAACGTATTTACAACTACGTTGTGGTAAGGTGGGTGTTGGTCTCTTCTCCCAAGTAACTAGTGATAGGATGAGAGGAAATGGCCTCAAGTTGTGCCAGGGGAGGTTTAGATTGGATATTAGGAAAAATTTCTTCACCGAGAGGGTGGTCAAGCATTGGCACAGGCTGCCCAGGGAGGTGGTGGAGTCACCATCTCTGGAAGTGTTCAGAAAATATGTAGACTTGGCACTTCGGGACATGGTTTAGTGGGGGTGGTGGTGTTGGGTTGACAGTTGGACTTTACGGTCTTAAAGGTCTTTTCCAACCTTAATGATTCTGTCATATTGGTCAAAAGGTGGGTTTATTAGTGTTGCTTCCACTTGTTCCCTGCCTGCTCAGTCTCCTCTCTCACTTCTAGATCTTTAGAGCTGCATATCTTGTACAACTATGTCAATAACCTTTTTGAACATAATGATGGTTCAGAATGATGAAATTTCTGACTGGAGGGATGGACATTAAAAAATTAAATAAAAAGAAACTACTACAGCAAGTAAATGAGAAAATTATATACATTGTTCCAGTACTATGTTTATCCTCAGTTCATGTTACCATTGTTTTCTCTGGTAACAGCTGTTGTCTTTAGACCCTGACTTTTTTTTCTGTTGGTCTCATCCAGGAGACATTTATAAACACCTGCTTTCTGCTAAAAGCTCTTAAAAACCAGAAATGACCATGGTCTTGAAACAAGGTAGTTCAGTCTAAGTCTCAACTTTATTCTACAAGACAAGCAAGATCATTGACCATCACAACATTTTATTAAATATGTCAGATTAAAACATTTCTTTCATTTTGATAGGAGCAAGACTGAGCCTATGCTATAGGTTAGGAACTTATTCTATAGGTTAGGAAACTGAATGCAATTAATGCCCTACCAAAGTAGTTTTCCTACAGTTGAATATATAATCAAAAAAACTTCCTGGGCAAGCATCCAAAGACAGACTGAACAGTATATAAGAAGTTAATTCTGTTGTGCTTTCTAGTATTTGTAGAAAACTAAAAACATAGTTACTTCAGAACTTCTCATTCACTACTTTAAATGTATTTCCTCTGTGTTACACAAGAACTATGGAAAAGAACAGATATATCCATTGAGACAATTAATTTGTGATGGAATCTTACTAAAAAGGTTTCTGGAAAGCAAAAAAGTGAATTTCAGTAAGGGGCAATAAAGCAAAAATAATTCAGTGAATTTTAAGTAATTATTTCAAGACAGTCATAATATTTCATTAAGTCCATCTCTTTAGAATTTTGGCAAAGATTAATTCCTTGTAGGCATATTCTACTTAAGAACATGTCAGAACTGTCATAGTGGAAGGTGAATCTTTTATTATAAAATATATCTTCATTAAGGTAAGAGAAAGGCAGGAACGCTGATTTTTCCCTGTAAACATTTGTACATATAAAAAATTAAAAAACAGATTAGGAACTCTGCTGGAAGCAATGTCAATTTATTCTGGCAACTGGTTAGTTTGCTTGACATTGGTGTTTTTCATTAGCTTTCATTCTACTGCTGTGTTATGTTAATATATAAAATCAATGGTCATTTCAAGATAATAATGAATATGGACACTTTTTTGAAACCATGGTGATTGCATGTAAAGATAACCTGCACACATATCATGCATAAAACTTTGTTTCCTTGCGTCTGTGCAATTCTGTCTTTTCAGTGTCAGATATTTGAGACTTTGACCATTATAGAAAATGGTGAAAGCGTTTCTTTCTAACTGACGCCACTCCCTGTTTAAGTTTTCCAGATGATTTTGCACTGGTAAAAATATGTTCTGTTGTTTGTAAACCACACTCACTGTAGTATGATCCTGAAGTTTCACTTCTTGATTTTTTTTTTTTTTCACCAGAAGTGAAAGAGGTCACACATTTGCCTTGTGAGATGCTGCGGAAATGTATTTTTTTCATTCCTCTTTTTTCACTGTATTTTATCCCATTGTCATTCTGTGAGGATGACAGCACTCTTCCCATTAAAATAAGACTAAAATATCAAACAAAAAGTATTAACGCTAATCTTAAGCCAATATTTCCCTTAAAGGAAATTGAAATCTGCTAATGTGTTTTGGCAGACAGTAGAGTTACAGCTAGGGACAGTTGCTACATTGTGTGGACAGCTGTACAGAATCTATTTTGAGGTGGTTTTATATTGAACCGTGTCATGGATGATAACAGGGTGAAAGACAGCCTGTAGACTGTAGACAGCCAGAATTTGGTAGACACCTATCCAAGGAGATTAGAGTTTTACAATAGTTGTTTATTTCAAACACTCACTTGCTTCTCCCAGAAAGTCATCAAATTTCCTGTTGGGAAGAATGATGCTAAACTGGGAAGGTTGCTCAGAAAGTCATGTCAGTGCATGCTGTGCAAGAGTTTGCAGTTACCGGTGTCACGCATAACCAGACAGTCCCTGGGCATCCACTAACATTGCTGTCAATGGATTCACATATTTCCAGGTCTTCCTTCCCATTCCAGCCTGATTTTCTCCACCTAAATAGTCTATAGGCAGAAACACAGTGCAAGATCAGCTTCCCTAACCTGTGATTCTACTTGTTAGAGTAATAGAATAGAATCATAGAATCATTTAGATTGGAAAAGACCTTTAAGATCATCGAGACCAACAGTAAAGCTGACACTGCCAAGTCCACCAGTAAACGATGTCCCTAAGTGCCACATCTGCGGTTCTTTTAAATACCTCCAGGGATGGTGTCTCATCAGAGATGTTTTTCTCTTTATTAGTTGGAGAATAAAATACATGCCACTTCTGTTCAGTCCAGGTGTTATCAAAATTTACCACTAGCTCCTAGCAAGTCACAAGTTTATACTTGAGAGTTGAAGAATAGTTTGGGACAGGAGCACACGCACCCCTGTAACTGGCAGCATTAACAATCTCTGTTACCTTTCACCTATTAATCTCTGGCTTGAGTGATTCTACTACCTGTAAGTTTGAGGGTTTTTTAATGATCATAACCCCTTTCTCAATCAAGAGACTGTCTTATATCTTTAAACATTGATGGTCAGCACAAAAGTGGAATTTTTTTTTTCCCTTTTGAGGAGTAAAGGAAAAGCTCTGAGGCATCATTTAATAAAACTGGAATCATGTAAGACATTTCATCTGCTGTAGTTACTTTGTCTAAAAGCTGATCATTTATCTGACATAATCTGGGACTGTATTGTGTATACTTCCTAGAAAGACTTTTGTTTCTCAAACCCATGGTAATAGAAAGTCATTGAAACATTGCTCCTATGGAAGCCTGTTGGAGTAGAATACAAAGAGAGAGATGAAGAAAAGCAGAAATTAAAAAAAAAATACTTTAGTATAATTTGGTATATTTAAAAGATTAGGAGGATGTGTCGTGCCTGTATGCAGTTCTGTTCAGCATAGAAATAATTAGGATCGATGATGTTTGGAAAATTAGACTTTCAACACTGATGTGGGTGATGCTTCAGAGTGTAAGTACCAGTTAGTTTCTTTCTGCTCATCTAAGAGGAAAGTATTACTAATACAAAACGACAAAAAAAAAAAAAAAAAATCTGTGTAATGTTACTGAAGGTTTTTTCTAAAGGTTGCTTCCAGTCTGATTTCCTGTGTTTGTCTCTTTTCTCCAAGGGAGATGCATTAGCAAAGCGTGGCTATGTGATGGCGATATTGATTGTGAGGATCAGTCTGATGAGGATAATTGCGAGGGCTATATGTGTGGACCACCAAAATACCCTTGTGTTAATGATACCTCCATCTGCCTACAGCCTGAGAAGCTCTGCAATGGAAGAAGAGATTGTCCTGATGGATCTGATGAAGGCGATCTTTGTGGTACTTTTTAGACAAATTTTCCTGATTATTCTTGATATTGTCTGTCACAATACTTACTGTCGAAAAAACAGTTCTCACAGTAATCTTACTGAAATTTTATCACAGTAGCCTGTGTGAGGATTTTTATTTAATTTAAATGACAGTGGATTTGTGCTTGAAGTAATAGTTTTCTTTGAATAAGGGGCAACATAGCTCCATAGGCAAGTCTTTCATTTCCTAACCCCTTAAAATACTCCTGAAGGTAAACAACTTAAAAGGATCTGGCATATATGAAAGGATTTAAGCTAATTTGCAGTTCTCTCAAACTGCAGAAGCTTGAGTTGATAAATCCTGTCACTAGCTGTGTAGGAGTTTCTGAAGAAATACAGTGGGATGACTTGGAGGAGCTAACATGTCTCCCTGATGGTGGTGGTGAAAGGATTTCACGGTATGTCAGACAGTGTAGGTTATCTGAGCAAAATTGTACTCAGTAAAGAAAGTACAAAAACAATTTTATGAGAGAAGTATAACAGATAACCTAACTGAATTATTATAAAATATATGCAAAGATAAAATGAATAGACTTTAAAAGAATCTACAGCAGTAGTATTGTACTGTAGTGATGATTTAGAGATAAGTGAAACATGGTTTGTAGGAAAAATGTAGGTAATTTTATAGTACATTTTAATTATATCAACAATTTGCCTCTTCCCCACTGACCTTGCTCTGCATAAAATATTTTATAATCTCCAGCATTCTGTTACAAAGCATTTGGAGATGTTTACAAGCATTTTCACCCTCTAGGATCTATCTTTACTAGGAGACCCTGCACTGGGCAGTGCTGAGTCACCTGAATTGCTTAGCACAGGACGCAGGGTTCACTGGCTGGGCAAGAGCTGCTGCAGGACATGGCACAGAGATCTTTACACTGTCCTACTCTGTTGGTCTGCAGACTGTACTGTAGGAGGGTATCTTAAATTCAGCGTTCTTCTGGAATATGTTAAGATTATGTTGTAGACCTAAATCCTTTCAAAGCTACATATGAAATCCCATGATATCTAGAATGCAGGTGAAAGAAATTATAGCGTAAGGCCAATTATATTATTTCTTTGCTATTTCTATGTTTGGACAATTACCTTCCTATTAGTAGTAGTCCAACATGACACCTGTATCCTCTTGGATACTGTGTAGGGCCAAGCTTGTTTTTTAACGGTTGTTATAACTTTTAGATGGTGTGTTATTTAGTCAACAAGTATTTCAGCAGTTGTTAATTATTTTGTTTTAAAACATAACTAAGCATAAACAGAATGTCAAATGCGGGATGTTAGGCAACACATTTGGATGTTAGACACATTAAGTAGTATGATCCTTTTTTGTCATGATAAAAAAATCCACACAAAAAACCAAACTTGAAATCTGAATGAGGGACTGTTAGAAGAGGGGTGTGGTTTTTTGGTTTTGGTTTGGTTTTTTATAAGTGGGAAGGAAATAATTCTTCTGTAGAAAACTGTTGTTTTATACAGCTTATCACAAGTGGGCAAGGCTTTCAGAGACTAGTTAGAATCAAACAAAAAAAAATAAAAGGCACAAATAGATTAAAAAATAAAAGTGAAGCCTAGTTTCCAGGGTAACAATGGACCAGTTTGTCCCTCCCATTGATTCCCTGGATATGAGTAGTTCTATGAGGTAAGGAGTACTTCTATGCTTTTTTGCTCCAGAGGTCACAGAATTTCTCACAGACACAATTATCATGCTTTTAATTGAGATGCTTTAAAGGTTTCAGAAATCACCTTCAATCCATTTAGCAGAGCTTTGCAAATCATCAGTTACCTGCAGAATATAAAGTGAGAGCACTGACACAGAGAATGCAGAAGTAGTATTCTCTAGCAGCTGTTATTGAAAAAGGAGAAAGAAATCCTGATTTTTTTAAATCTTATTTGTATGTTTCTTTGACAAGTTGCTTGGGATATAGATGCATAGGACTAAGAGTTGGAGCCTTCTCCCCCCCAAGGTCAATTGTCTGGAGGCAAGGGAAGTATATGGGAAAGTATGCTTATTTCGCTGTTCATCAGCTTTTGGTCACCGTTGAAGGTGGTTGACCTATAACAGTCTTTGGACTGACTCTGTATGGATGCTCTTTAATTCTTAAGTGAATGAAATAATATGCACGAAGGTCTGTAAAAATGTATATACATTGTACATCTGCTATTCTAAAATCCTGGAAGATTGCCCTAAAGCTGCCATACTTAGAAATCAGCTAATTTTAAAAATAAATATAGAAAGCTGTTTAACAAATGTAAGATTTCATTTGTGCTTCTTAGGGGCTTTTATATGTTTTAGTTGACCTGGTGACTTTAAGAATATACAATATAACTGACAACCCTGTGGCCCTTAATGTTGTGGTGGTTTTTTTCCATGTTATTTCAGATGAATGTTCACTTAACAATGGTGGATGTAGCCATCAATGTTCTGTGGTTCCTGGAGGAAGAATTGTATGCTCCTGCCCTGCAGGGTTCAGCCTTAGTACAGACAAGAAAACTTGTGAGATTATGGATTACTGTACCAAGCACCTTAAGTGTAGTCAAGTATGTGAACAGCATAAAAATACTGTCAAGTGCTCATGTTACGAAGGCTGGAAGCTCAGTAAGGATGGAGAAAATTGCGTTAGTACTGGTGAGTTGAAATTCAGTGTGTTTTCAATATTCCAAATGTTAATAGCTCTTACATCCATTTAGTGAGAGGTTATTTCCTTTTTTTAAATAAGAAATATAGGCTTGGATTATCCAAATGTTGGGCTGACAGCAATCTGAAGAACTCAAAGCTGTCCCTTTTCATGATGTGGGATAAAGGAGTATTGCAATATTAGTTCATTGTTTTTAAAACTTTCTTAGAATATTAATACCAAATAATTTCTAAGTTGTTTGAAGCTTTATACAGTTTTTCATGTATATTTAATATGCAGGGGAGATAGAGAGAGATAAATATATGTAAGTGTGTGTGTGTATATATATATAAAAAATATGGGGAATTTACTATGTATTTTGAAGAAATGGATCAATCTGTGACATCATGATATTGATCGGTATTACTTGAGGGTTAAGAAGTGTAATTTGGAATGTGCATGAATGCTCATATGGTCAATTATTTGCTGCATATTACCGTTCACAATTTAAGCTATTTTTTCAGCTACGACATTCTGATACTTTTTGTTGACATCAGTAAGTCCATTCAGCTCTCTAATCAAGAAGAAAACGAACATAAGCCAAAATGGGAGAGGGGAACGCATTCCCCTCATTTTTTCACTATTGATATGTACCAAAGCATGATCTAGAAACTATGTTAGGGGTGTCTTTTTCAAGTGCAGTGTGAATATGTGTGTGAAATTCAAACATGTATGTGCAATATAAACTGTCATCATACATTACTGCCCATGAAGGAACTTAAAAATAGCATTGATTTTGCTGTCCAGATTTTCAAAATCTCAATTTAGGATTCTTTGACATTTTTATTCTTTATTATCTTTATTTTTTGATAGTGTCTTAGCAGTTCTGAGTAGAAACATCTCCCAAACTATCTATCATTTATTTGTGTTATTATTTCATAATTCAATAGATATCATGCTTAAGATATTCATGATTTATTTGAGTTACTCAGCATTTCCTCAGATGAATCACATGACAAAATTCTGAATTGGTAAGCTAGAAATAAAAGACCAAGTTTCCTATTGCTAGTCACCTGAAATAATTTAGTAGCTAGCAGCCAGCTTAATGGTTCATATTTCAGAGAAGGCAAATTCTAATCCTTCTGCATTGACAATATTTGAGCTAAATTACAAAACATTTTAGAACTTTGTTGCAGTAGTAATGAAGCCTATAATTTACTTATGGCCAAAATATCTATTGCATGTAGTAAAAATAATGTTTCTCTTTGCCAAAACAATGGATAATTAAAATTCAGGCTTACGTCATGGATGTTCTCTCAAATTATACGTCTTGCCTTTGAGCTACTTGTTTAATCCGTTAAGAATTTCATTCATCATGCTGGAATAACTGTTGCTATAATTTCCAGAATGATCTCCAAATTGAGTCTTTGTGTCTCCATAATTGTTACTATCATCTGTAAATAGTTACTACTACAGTATGAGATTGGGAACGTATGTCGTTCAGACATTACTGAGCTATGCTGATAGTAGACTCTTAAATCATGCTTCACAGGCATATTACTGTGGATCTCTATATCTGAAATTTATTTTATTGCTGTTAAATTTATTATTTTATGACACTGCTTTAGTATTATTTTCATTGATGTTTGAATGATCTAATGTGTTTTATTATGGACATTTCCAATAATTCAAAACGTGCAATCTTACTGGGTTACAGAAATGAAAGGATTAGAAGTATTTAAGACAGTGTTAGTAACTTGCTGGAAGAAAGCTTGAAACAAACTTTAAATTAAAGCAAATAGAAAAGACCACTATTTGGAAGCTAAGGTAAAAAAAACCAAAGCAAACTATACTCAGGCTGGAAAGTAAGAAAAGTAAGTCTACGGTTTCTCAGTTTTTCTTAAACCCATGAGACATTTCTGCTTAATGTTTATTGATGTTGGTAAGAGTCTGAAGTTACAAATTGACTTTTACAGATTTTCTCAAAGAATGTAGTATTAAATATGTGATCTGAGACTGGTGATGTCAGCTGATACAAAGAAAAATGATACCTGTCTTTACAAACTGTAAAGATACTATCCTAATGCCATCAAACCTCCAACAAAATTGCACCATATTAAATATGACATATGCTTTTATAGTCACTAATAATCTTGGCCTCTTTCAGTTTATTTCATTTAAAAGTTATGATAAATACTTTGAAGGACAGATCCTCTGATACTTCAGTTGTTGACTGTATGAGCAGCATTTTAGTAAAGTGAGTGCAATTTTGGTCTGATTTGTGAATGTTAGCCTCAAAATGTCCATACCGTTTATGTCTCTGTGCATGAGATCCTAACTGAACATAAAATAAAGAAAAAAGCTTTCATATAATACTGTTATGTAGAGTTCAAAGTAATCTTGTGAAGATCAACAGTCCCCCAAATGCCAAACTAATTCTTCAATAATACCAGTTGGTATAAAATAATTCTTAGAGTACCCATAGTGATTTAAAATGCCTTGATCCGGGAGTTGAGTTGTATTGTGTTGTATGTGTATTGTAGCAGTAACTAATAATCCTTTTTCCAGGAGAAAAAAAATTACTCAAAGGAAAATGATTACCTCACCCTTAGATATATTTTTTGCTATCTAAAATAGCACTTTCCTATATATAGTCAAACATTTCACTAGTACACAGCAGTAATGTGGAAAGTTAGTATGCAGCACTTTATTTTTTTCAAAACATTGTAAAATCATTCACTTGAGTGTCCATCAGAAATCTAATGGGAATATGAATGCTAAAAATGTAGTAATGTATGTGATTTTTTTTTGATGGTATATCAGAATTGAATACTGTGTCAGAGGAATCTAATTAATTACCAGAGAAATGTAATGAATTATGGAATAATAAGTATATAGAAATAAATTGGTGGAATTGAGATGGTATTTTCTTTTTCATTTCTCTTTTTTGAGGCTTTAAGTGATGTGTGCTTTTCTCGTTCAGAGTTTCTTCACTTTCCATATCTCCTGTTTCCATCTAGTTTGCTTTTCGCTGCTCTGGCATGTGTCTTGTTACCTTACTAATTTTCCAAAGACTAAATGTTTCATTCATGTTTACGTTTATATTGATTGAACTAAAAGTATGCCACAGAGCTCTGTTACTCAGTCAATATAAATTATATCTTTTCATACTCTTCTTCCTAGTTTCTCTTGGAACATTTCAAAATAAGTTGTGCTGATATATTGCACTTGAAGTCTTTTAGATGATAAGCATACAGAAAAAAAAAAACACTGTTCTTGAAAGATATTTAAATTTCATGTTTATGTTCATCCTTACAGAATTTGGTATAATAAAAGTTCAATGAACTCAGAAACACTTAGCATAGTATAGATTTAGTTAAAAAATAACTGTCAACCTTTTCTAAATTGTGGGAACTGTGTTATATCACTAGATATATTTGGAAAAGAGGATGATGTGTCTGTATGCTTGGTCTGTTTTAGCTGGATTTAAATTCAGTTTTGTTATAATTTCCAGGTAGTTTTCAATATTAAAACAGAGGAAAAACAAACAAAAAACCTAAAAAAAAAAAAAAAAAAAAAAACACTAAAAAAAAACCACCACAAAACACCAAACAAACAAACAAAACCCCCCAATAGTCTAATCCTGTCTGAGCAATGTCAAACTTTTAATGACGGGGTTTTTTTCGGACTCTTCATGGGGTTATCATTTTTTTTAAGGTAAATTTTATAAAAGCACAGTGTAGGTTGCTTGCTGTGCTACTGTTGTTGCAGTAAGCTTCAGTTAGCATTTTTCCCAAGAAGGACTTTTAAATTAAAACCACTGGAAATAGTAAAGCATTATTCTTTCTACACAGTCTTTTTTGAGTGTGTTTAGGCAGTTTTCTTCTATCAGAATATTTTCTTGAAACTGTTAATGCAGTTCATGCTTTATGTTTGTCTTGTATATTTTATGCACTTACCTGTATGGTAAAAATGATTAGTGCAGTCATAAAATCAGAAGGTACAGAAATGTATTAGTTTTCTCTAATAAATTGTTATCAATTTATTTAAAAAAAAAAAGCTTTAAAGAATGGAATCGGTAATTGTTACATTGAATTAAGATGAGATTTTATGAAAATATTCTTAATGACATTAATATTGCTGTTGTTATTGCTTTCAAAGACCTTCAAGACACCTTCAGTGGTCAACTCCAAGTTTCCCAGGGGTGAGATATTTCAGTGCCTCACTCTCCTTAAGATTTTTTCCTAGTCTTTCTGAGTCTTCTTGCTCCAGTTTAAACTTTTAATCCTTGGCCTACTTGTTATTTATATAGAAAACAAGATTTTTCCAATTATCAGTTTATCAGCCTTTTAAGTCTTTGGAGAATTTTATGTGCTTCCGCTCACCTTATTCCATTGTTTTTTAAACTAAGCAATTCCAGATTGTTCCTTCTTTCCTTGCAAGCTATACTTTCTATATCTTACAGCACTTGCTGATTTCCTCTTGCATTCCTGTTGTTGATTCACATACTTCTTTGAGCTGTGCTCAGAACAGGGTAGGGTATTATAGACTGTCTTCCCCAAAGCTTAGGAGGAGGGAGTGGAAGGATTAAGTCATATTTATTTTAAGTGCAAAAATTGAGTTGACCTTATTTACAGTGCCATGCTATTGCTGAATTGATTTTCTTGATTCTTTTCTACAGATCTGGTATCAGTTATATACTCAATTTTATGCACCTTATTATTCTTGAAACATCATACTTACCTACACATACAATAATAGGGGGAGTCAGGCAGTAATACATAAGATCCTAGACTACTCCAGTCGTCCAGGCGATGGTGATTGATTGCTACATTATGTAAAGCAGACTGGTGGCTGGACTCTGACTCACAACTCACCAGCCAGGCAATAATTACTGCTATCCATTTGGCTGTATTTAAATAAATAGCCTTATCATGGAAGAACCTATGTAAAACTGGTTTCTGTCTGCTTTCTGAATTCTTTCCAGAGAAATTTTGCACTGCGGTGCAGTGCCTCTTGTTTGTCACAAAATCACTTATTCTTTTGTTTTGTGTAGTATCACATCTGTGATTTGACTATATATCAGCCACAGTAACCAAGGATCTGAATTTACATCTTTGCATTGTTATGGGAAGGGTAAGGAAGGCGGGGGGGGAAGCAGCATGTGACCTGCTGATTTAAACCAAAATGTCCAAATAAACAAAATGGTGTCACTTTGCCTACACATATTTTCTTACCCATTTCTCATTGTTCATTTACATTCTTAAGTATTGTACCTTAAATTTGTCAAGATCCTATTGAACTCTTATCCTTTTCAACAGTGTACTTGATAATTTGCGCTGTAGGTTATGTAGCTTAAGGTAGACTTTATCCACTTTGAATGAAAAAAACACATCCCATGTACACAGATTTATTAGGTTTCTTTTTTTTCCATTGTGATGTTAATTATCTGAGAAACATAAAAGAAGCTACTGGTGATGTCCATCATTTTACGCACTGGAGTTCCCTAAAAAGCCATATGTCAGTAGCCTGTGGTCTGCATAATAGCTGCCGATTTATCAGAAATTGGGAAGTGCCATAAGCTGTTTCTCAGGTTCAGGTAACTGGTACTTGTGAAATAGCTACTAATTTCAGTAATCCTGTTCTTCATTAAATTATTTAACTACTGCAGAGCTTTGAAAAATTACCTTTGCAGAAAGTCATTCATTGTTTTAGCAAATAGGAAGATCATTTGGAAAGTCCAAGCCAGATTATTAACAAGTACTTCAAGAGCAGAAACATAGCTCTACTGAGGTACCTAAATAACTTAAAACATCATAGATAATTTAATCTGTTTGTGCAATGGTTATCAAGAGAAGAACATGAAATTAATCTTTTCAAAAAGAGGTATATAAGCATATCTATATTTGGTGATAATTTGTGCAACCTTTCTTTGACTATCTTAGAAGAACAATACAACATTGCCTATTGCCGTAAATCGCCAATAATCTGTCTTTTATATACAACAGGGGTTTAACTGTATGGAAAACAGAAATGAAAAAAAAAAAACAACTCCTTTCCCACAGAGAAGGACTGGTGTGAAAAATCTTTATTAAAATGGATATACCAAGTTGATTCAACAGTTTACAGAATCCAATTTTCATCTTTCTTGTTTGTTTTATTAACACAGTTACTTGTTTGAAAAGCTTTTCCTAATCTAAATTATGTAAGAACTCTAATAAAAACATCAATTTTATAGTATGTTTGACCTATGCAGAGAGCAGTTACAGATATTTATGTGTAATTTGATGTAAGATCACAGGCACAAATAATCTAGCATTAATTCAATAACAAAGGAAGGAGAAATTAGTGGTGGTTGGGTGTGTGATGGGCTGTGTCAATAAACATATAAACTGTTAATTTCCTTGCTTGATAGTTTGGGGTGAGGGGTTTTTTTTAAGCACTTCAATTGAAAAAACAAGGTACTTTATATATATTCAACAGGTACGTTGCATATATTTTAGTAAATTGTTTTGGCCAACTGGCATTTGAAACAGTGTAATGGATTAATTTTTCTGGTACTTTTGGAAAAACAGATTTTATTTTGATTACATGTGACCTTTAAAAACTCTAATTGTGGACTCCTTGTGGTAAAGCTACAAAACATGGTTCAATAGTTGAGTTTTATATTCCCAAATTTAATGTTTAATATCTCTAGTGGTGATCAAAGATAATGCTGGAAGGGAGAAGTGAGAAGTCTGTGGGACTAAAAATGTATTTGAAAGACTCCTTATCAGAAGAGGAGTTGTTTTAATCATCTATTTCTCCTGATAAAGTATTCTGTTGTTCTTATTCCACTTGTCATTTCTATCAATATGTAACAATATCTTCTTTATTATCCTTTTGAAATATGTAATCTTCTGCTTCCAGATCCATTTGAGGCTTTCATAATTTTTTCTATACGACACGAGATCAGAAAAATTGATCTTCACAAACGTGACTACAGCCTTTTAGTTCCTGGTTTAAGAAATACAATAGCACTTGATTTTCATTTCAGTCAGAGTTTACTGTACTGGACGGATGTGGTAGAGGACAAAATTTACAGAGGCAAGCTCTCTGATACTGGAGGTATGAATTTAATCTTTAATTCTTAACAGTAAGAACAACTGCAGTTGCAGGGTGATAAATTGTAACTGAGCTACCGTTCACAGAAACAAAATTTGTGATGGCATTCTGCCTTTAAAAAGGTGTATATCTAGATTGTACTTGATGTAGAGCTAGAAGGAGGATTTTTGTTATAAAAGTTTCCTTTTGCACTAGGCTATCGGATGAAGAAAATGTCAGATGTAAAGAGTTTTTCTTCCTAGTCCAATGAGTGCAATATTGATTTTTTTTTTTCATTTTTTGTAATTTACCTTCACCTTGTTTAAGACATATAAGAATTTATCAGATATCTGATAAATTAATCTGCTATCACTAGGTGAAAGATTTTGCTTCATAACTTTATAGCACTCAGAAAGACATGTTCTTTGCTCTGGTGGCATAATTATGCCTATAATTCAATATTATCTCATAATATATACAAAAGTGTTTCTACAGAATGTTCTTCGTTGAAGTGTATATTCAGGTGCTTTCATTCCTGCACGAGCTAACAGGCATAAGCATGTTTAATTTACTTTTGTAAAAGTTCACATATGCATTTGTGTGTATGTTCTCCAACATGTTTTTTGGTCTGGGGTTTTTTTTCTTCTCCTTAGCAGATGGTATTTGTGGGTATTTTTATATCCATGGACGCAGACCAGGAAAGGTCCTATGCTGCTAGCTATGTAAAGACAGCCAAGGACTTGCTACTTCTCATTAATGATTACGGTGTTTGTATGAAACCAGTATGGTAGTCTGTTGCTGTCACACTGTGTTATAGTCACACTATACCAAACCCAAGTCACTTCTGTGCTCTATTAAAAAAAAAAAATTACTCCCTCAGTCTTGCAGCTGTCAAGAACTGAGTTGCATCTGCAAAAAGCATTGTGCCTTCCTGGAAGTCCTGAGGGCTAACAGAGTGCTTTTGTAGTTGCCGTTTGTGTGAAAATTTTGAGACCCTCCAGAGGAAGTATTTGCTAGGGAGGAGCTGTTAGTAGGCAGTGCCAGTATGAGTTGTGCATGTGAATTTGAAGGAACAAAGGCTATTTATTGCAGAGCTTTTCAAAATGTGTAGTCCAAACAGGGTTCTACCTGCCATTTCTGCTTTCATCGTAGTGTTTCAGTTTTCTCGTTTTCTGATTGAGAAGGAACTGAAATAGAGCTGCCTGAGTTTTGTTTAGCATGTCTGGTCACTGGGAGGCAAAGCGTGAGCATGTCCTTCACAGATGCTGCAAAAGAGGTCCCTGGTAATAGGGGACATGTACGTCTCCTGTGTTACTCTGCATGTGATCTCTGACCATTATTTAAAGCTTCAGAGCTTTACTTGCTAAAGCATCAGGGAACTAAAAAGTTCTATTACTGTGAAATGAAGTTTATTTGTATATTGCCAAAAGTGTACTTATTTACAGCAGTCTATCGCATTTGTAAAGAAGAAATGTCACGTGGAACAAAGGATTATCATCCATCAGATTAATCAAGAATTCACTCCAAGAGCATATGATAGACCTGTATGTCCATGTTCACTATATCAGACTCTATATTAGCTATTTAAGACTCTCCTTCCCCCACTGCTTTCTCTTTTTTTTTCAGGTGTTAGTGCCATTGAGGTGGTAGTGCAACATGGCCTGGCCACACCTGAAGGTCTTACTGTAGATTGGATTGCAGGAAACATATACTGGATAGACAGCAATTTGGACCAAATTGAAGTAGCAAAACTAGATGGCACTTTGAGAACAACGCTGATAGCAGGAGCTATGGAACATCCAAGGGCAATTGCTTTGGATCCCAGATATGGGTAATTAGAACAAAAACAACTTTCATGTTGAAAAGCATTTTAAAGATAGAGGTTTAAGTGTGATATTATTTTATTTCCTTTTGCTGTGACTTATGGTTCCTAATTTGTCTTTGATAGTTCTTGGAAGTGTATTTTGAGTTAAATACAATCCATTATTAGTGTGTTTTGCCCTAATGAAAAGAGTTAAGAAAAGGTAAGTCGGGACATATGGGGATCTATTTTGTTGGCAAATTAATTCCCTTGCTATGTGATTGTTTCATTTAATTTTTAGTGCGGATGATAGTAAGTGAAGCCTTTGGTCTAACCTTCCTGTGTTATTAATGGACAGATTTAGATATTTCCAAGGGGATTCCTCTCACTTAGAGATAGATCTTTATATTTTTTTTGTGGGCCTATAAAAGTATAGCTTAGATGTTACTGGAGGACTAAAAGTTGAGTGAGGTAAATCCCAACTTTTGTGTTTTGGTCTCTGTCTTTAAAGTGGAGATAATGCTTGCCAACTTCTACAGTATTTTTCTACCTATTCATAAGGGATATTCTGTAAACTGGAATGTTATTAAACATAAGTAACTGAGTGTAGTAGATTCAGCCTACTACCATAAATAGATATTTTTATCTAATGCCTGTCATAATTAAATGTTTCTAATAGATATTAGAATGTTTTCATAATATCAAACAAAACATTAATTAAAACAGGCCAAAACTGAGTGTGTTGAAGTATGCCTAAGTTAAAATATTGCCTGATTTTGGTAATATGCTAACACAATAAAATCTCTTTTCCCATAAAATATAATTTTAGTAATCATCAAACACAAATATATTGCACAATTCCATTTTAAAATCTTCACAGTAAAAAAAAAAATTAACATTAAAACTTTGCTTAGGTTATTTTTGGTTCCTTTTAAAACTAACCTCTCATTTTTGGGCAGAGTAAAAATGGTCCATACATTCCATTTGTATTAAAATTTAAGTCAATAGACTTAAGTAGAAGAAGGGAAGTAAAACTGTTCATGGAACCTTTAACCCCCTGTTAAGCTAGGTGTCAGTTCTGATTCTGTATTGAAATTCAGTCGTTTACTATAAAAATTTTAAAATTCTTGGAGTTAGAGCAGTGTTTTCAGGCTATTTGAAATTGCGAACACGTTACAGTAACCTCATCACCCAATATTGTGTGTAGCTGGATCATTTTAGAGTTAACAAAAGGTAATGGTCAATAGCTACATCCTCTTCTCATAATTATTCCTTGGGGGGGGGGGGGGCCACAAAAAAAAAAACAAAACACCACACACAAACCACACAAAAAACAAACCCAGCCAACTAATTAAATGTGACCAGAAATAATATAATTACAATGAGGTTGCAGAATCATCATATTTAATTTTCTTTAGGAACCTGCTGTGGTCTATCATGTGTCTTCACTAAATATTTATTTCAGAAACACTACTGTGTACTACATAAAAATAAGAGTGGATAATGGTCCCAGATTCTGAGGCCTGAGGTCCCTTTGGGACCTAAAATTCTGAATTAGGAAGTACATGCTTTAATGAGTAAGGACCCTGCCCTTTCAATTCAGATGCTAGAAAGCTTATTTATAGAATGCATCGCTTATCTATAGAGATCTTTAAAAGAGAGGCATCCTGTTGGCAGAAGAATTGGCAGATAAGTTGTTCAAATTAAATGGTTGGGAGGAAAAAAAAAGTCAAATCACAACTCTTCCTGAAACTGAAGGCTTAATCTGCCTTTTGAAAAGCTAGAAGCAATCGTGTGCTACATTTTGTTAGAAGCGAGGAAAGAATAAAATCTTTGAACACAGATGGGAACAGCTCTTCAATCTTTTCACAAACAAATATGAATAAATAAATATGATGTTTCAAAGTAGACAGTTGTGTTAGGATTGCACAAATCCTGTATCCTTATGGAGGTGGTGCTGCCATAGCTCCATGCCTTCGATTCCAACCTGCAGCGAGACTGAGCATGAATTCCCAGTCCACACACATACCGATATACGTATACACGTGACTGGCCACGTAAGTCTACACAGGCAGAAACTCTCAGTGCGGAGACAAACAGCACCAATACTCTCATTCCACTAACCTCACTGGCTGTTAAGGGTGAAGAGTTTTAGTGGGTAATGTATAGGTATGTATACTGTGGATTCCTCCAGTAGCCGGGTTTAGACAGTGCCTGGCCCTGGGATCGCTGAGCTGCCCAGCTCCTGGCCCCTGGGCATATGAGCCCCCGGGGCTGCAGCCCCACACCAGCTGCTGGTGAGGATGGCGTCACACACTCTGCTGTGGCTGGGCCTAGGCACTCAGCCCTAGCGGGTAGCTAGCCCTGGATCCTCGCTGTCCCCCGCTGCCACACACATGTACACGTCTCTCAGTCAGGCCCCAGACCTCAGGGTCTCCCTGCCAGTTAGCCTGGCCCCCCTGGTCCCTCTAGTAGCCAGTTCCCCAGGTGCTTCGCTCTGAGGCGCACGCATACACCTGGCTCCCATCCGCTTAGCCCACTCACCAGCCTGGCCTCGCCTTTGCCAGCGGTCACACGCGGCCGTGCACGCCCTCGCTCGCCCCAGTTGCTGCCACCGTGGGCGTACAGGCCCTGTGACCTGTCGTCTGGCTCCAGCCGCTGGCACGCAGCGGCCTGTACGCACAGCGTGCAGACGGAGCAGAGACCCTCGCCCAGGAAGGGGGTTAGAAATGGAGTTTGGTAGGAAGACAGGCCTTTTTATACCCTTATGCCTTACTATTTAATGTAGCATCTATTAACTGGAGAGGCCGTATTAGAATAAGCTGTTCTATGTTCAGCTGTCTGATCTTACCTGTCAAAAGTTTTAATTTTGTTATTCACTGTAATTCACTCTTTACAACTAATAAAATTTTTTTGATATCAAAGGTATTATTTTCCTTTAACAAATTAAAAAAAAAAATGTGTGTTGTTAAAAGCTTCATAAGCTAAGAACAGAGTGTAATTTTAGCCTTTTGGTGACACTGCTTCTCTTACTTAACAAGAAACTTCTTCGGTTGCACAGGTGAAAGCTCTCCTTACTGGAAAAAAATTGGAGACAGTACATAACTGAGAGAGCCTACCACACAACATACCTTTTCAGTTTTTTTAGCAAGACTAATCTGTATAGAATTTGTTAGTGACATACCAAAATCTAGGGGTCTTCATTGGAACACTCGTAGTAACAAATCGAAATCTCTAGTTTATCATGTTCCTTAATACCTGCTGCCTCAAATCACCCTTCTTCCCTTTCTCCCTTCCCCATCATCCTTATCTGTGGATTGCTTTCAAAGGCTCTCATTATAATTTTTTTTTAATGAGATGGGTTTCTAGTTATAGAAGGAAGACAAGACAAGCTGTTACTTGTATTAATGGGCATGAAAAAATGAATGCTATTGAACTTCTAGTTTTTAAAAATCTTGGGTTTCCTGATTGCTCTAACACTAATAATGAAATATTACCTCCATGTTACCTTATTACTTCAAGGACTGTGTATAATTGCCCAAACTCACCTATGTGTATTCCTTTCATTTAAAACATGTGAATGTTTGAACTTTTTCCCAGTTATTCTCTTATTGAGACATTTGAAATTATTCTACATGCTTTAATATTTTCTTACATTTCTTTTCTTTTCCTTTCCTCTCACCAGAATTCTTTTTTGGACAGACTGGGATGCAAATTTTCCTCGCATTGAATCTGCTTCCATGAGCGGAGCAGAAAGGAAGATCATATATAAAGATATGGATACTGGAGCCTGGCCTAATGGCCTTACTGTAGATCACTTTGAAAAAAGAATAGTATGGACAGATGCCAGGTAAAGTGATAACAATATTCTTCTTATCTGTTCCTAAATCCCTACTTGCATACAAAAATATGAACTACATTGTAAGTGGAATGTAGTTACGTACATTATGTACATAGTCTTCTGTGCAAATGTACAGTATGTACAGGTCTTTAATTGCATTACTATTACACATAATTTATTCATGGTCTTCATGGCCTGTACGGCAGACCTTAAAGGCCCTTACTAGTCTTCTCAGGGACCTCCCTCCACACACCCTGCCCATGGTCCCAGGAGCCGATTTCAGCGCAGTCCAGGAACTCAGCCCCTGCCTGAGTGGCACCACTGGGAGCACCAGTTTCCAGCCTGTCTGGCAGTGGGCTGTGTTGGTCCAGACCCTAACCCACAGAGTGGCTTCCTGGTCTGATCCTGTCTTGTCACCACAAACGCTTCTGGTGATTTGAACTCTTGGCTGAACCTGACTGCCATCCCTGGGGCCTGCCCTGCTCTCCCTGCATGGGGGCAGTGGGACATGGCCCTGGACAGTGAGGCCTCTGCCCTGTCAGTAGTGGCGTTATCCGTGTCTCCTGGTTCCCTGTGGTATCATCCATGGCTTCTGTGCCACATGGAAGACCCAAGCTGTTTCACTGTTTTTTCTGTAAGTTCACTGAAATGGAAACCAATTGACCTCCTGTACTTTCACAGCATGGAGGTAAATTTACCTTTTATAAACAGTATGCAAGCAAACCAGTATTTCATATCCCGAGTTAAATGGATAATGGGAATTAAATCAACTCTGAAGTTAATGATTCTGCTGTAAACATTCGTTGACCTTACCAGTATGTAAGACTAAGGATTTTAGACATTTTGCACCAATGTCATAATGGTTGTGTGATTTTTATTTTATTGTTATATAATCTTAAATTTGGGGTTATCTTGTAGATCGGATGCCATTTATTCTGCATTATATGATGGAACCAGCATGATAGAGATTATACGGGGTCATGAATATCTTTCTCACCCTTTTGCTGTTTCTTTGTATGGGAGTGAAGTATATTGGACAGATTGGCGGACCAATACACTTGCAAAAGCTAATAAATGGACTGGCCAAAATGTCAGTGTAATACAAAAAACAAGTGCTCAGCCATTTGATCTTCAGATATATCATCCAAGTCGTCAACCACAAGGTGAGTATAGAATAATTATTATTCCTATGAGGGGGGAAAAAGGTTCTTTTTATGTACTAATATCTGTATATGAATTTGCCTTGAACTGACTATCCTTAACTAAATGTTGTATTCAGCAATAGTGTTCCTTGGGTGGTAAGAGAATCTTTATTCAAACCAGAAGCTTCATGGGATTAGTGTTGATAAATACTGCCCACTTGGACTCTTGGTCTGTTAGAAATACAATGTGGAACCATATTTATTTAAAAAGCTTCCAACTTACTTTTGTTAGCTGGAGTAACTAGTTTGACAAAAATAAACATAACAATGTTAGCTGTCTTCTCTTGCTTCTCTCCAGTGGAAGATGAACTTTTCTGTGAAATAAACTGTGTATACAAGTGTTGTAAATAGTCACTTTGTGCTATAATTTGCCTTAATTTACTCATTCACTTCTCTGTATTTGGTTCTAAGTCTTCTTGTTCACTCTTAGGACAGCATAATTTAGATTCCACCACAGCAGACCGCTGCTTTTCTACCTAAATAGCCCCAATTGTGTGTTTTCCATAAACTGACACTTTTTCCAAAGCATATCTTGTTGACTTAACAGCTTTTATTTTAAAATAGCATTTACAATTTTCCATTTCAAATCATCACAGTATGTCTTTCATGGGAGAATGAACTTAACCTGCTGGAGGCATGAGTTTGGCATTTAAAACTTCAAGAAGCATCAAAACTTATTTTTGGTGTGGATAACAATCAAAACTGAAAGGAAGTTCACAGTATATACATTAATTAAATAATAGGAAATTCTTCAATTATTTCTTGATAAATTATTTTGTGACTTTAACTTCCTGTTTTCATCTTTGTAAAGCTTACCTCTTCATGTCTACATGTTTCCATCTCAATTTTATACCAGTTTTGATAGTGTAAATATATTTTTATATACCTATTTATACTAGAACACTGCTGTACAATTATGGTAAGCGCATAAGGCTGTGTCATTAGATAGTCCAACAGTAATTGGGTATTTAATAATTGTCAGCTACTATAACTTAAGATAAAATTGTATTAATCTTTTAAATGAAAACTGACCTGATTTTATCTATCTGTTTTAAGGAGATACTCAATTCTGAATTGAAAATGCAGGAACCTGCTAAAACGTAGCTCCTTTAGACAGCTTTATAATGTCTGTCGCATATATAAAAAGACTAATGATTTTTATAATTTCACTGAATTTTTTTTTTTATAATTTCAACTGAAGCTTCAAATTATTTTTTCACTGAATAGTGAATGTCTCATTCAGATGGTAAATAAGTAGTCAAGAAACTTAAGTTATTGGCTTCAGCGGTTGTATGTGTGAAGGTTCATGAGGACCAAGAAAGAAATCAGAGTAGCCCATTAGTTGCACATCTAGTGTATTTCTAGAGTATAACTGTGTTTATTATTTCTCTGAGGACTATGAGGCTTACAAATATAGAGATTTTATTTAATTGGTGTAAAATTATTTTCCACTCTAAATTTTCTGGCTTCAGTTATGGCAATATATAGACTGTACCTAAGTGTGTTACTAATAACAAGCAATAATTAAATCCAAATTAATTATACAGGAACTTGTTACATTTTGCTGTTATTTCATTCTGATACCTACCTGTTGGTAACATTATCTACTACTGGTCCAAACGCATCTTGTGGCCTTCCCGCATGCTTCCTTTTTTCCCCAACTGCTGTCCAGCTGAGGATAGGTGAATTCAAGATGTGTTGTACAGTGCTGACAACTAGCAATATTCTTCTTCTTCCTAACAGTTATCTCTACTTCTACTGTCATAAAAAATAGAATTTTAATTGGGCTCCTTCTCTTGACTTTTCAAATGTTGAGCCCTCCAAAGTCCCTGTGTCCCTGACTGCGATATCATAAATGTTAATGGAAATAGTTGGAAAGTGTTGTTACGTAGTCATTTACTAGGAGTCCTTGGACTTCTGAATCAGATGCTTAATTTCATTCAATATGAAATAATGAGGATGAAGTGGTTAGCTGAAGTAGTAATGAAAGGATATGATAGTTCTTTCAGGGGTTCCCCATGTAAAATGGGGATATAACTAAATATAGTGACATTTTTCAATATGACTATGGCTGTGCTGGTGTTTAAAATAATTTAAAAATACAAAACCTAGTATAGGACAGGAAGACATTATTATGATACTGCTGGCAATTTCAAAACCCATTCTTGGAAAGAGATACATTAGTGTATTGATCAAGGAGAGAACAGAGTCAGAACCTCTCAACCACAGCTGAAATGCCAGCTTTCTCAAGATAGCTCTTCAATATAGCTTTCCTAGAGTCGTGTAGCAAATCTTCTGGTAGTTGTATCAGCCGTTAGAAGGAAGATTTAAGTCTCTGCAGACTTTTTTATTTTTTTATATCAATAACTCACAGGTTATTTGCAAACAACAAAACAGATCATCCAGAACAGAACAAATCATGATTCATGAATGAGGTTAGTTGCCCTCTTATTGATTATATGTATGTTTAATTTCACTCCAGCCACTATCCTTCTGCAATGTCATCACTGCCTCTTATCTCCCATAAGCTATTCATTCTTCCCTAGTAACTTCACCATCTCCGATTCTCCATCACGTCTTTTGACTTTCTGTAGGTATATTTAGTGTAAATGGGCTTAATGATGCAGATTATCTAGTGGGTGAATAATACATATTTTATAGATATCACATCTATAATAATGCATAGTTAATATGTGAATATATACTTAAACATATACATGTGTACACGTACATACTTCACATATGCAAATGTATATGTACATTTGTCCCCTTATGGTTATAGTTTTGAGTTCATCTTTACATTCTGACATGCTTGAGATACCACTAGGTGCATTTTCTTTTGGTAAATTAATGGGCCCATGTGAACCTCATGAGGTTCAACAAGGCCGAGTGCAGGGTCCTGCACCTGGGTTGGGGCAATCCCTGGTAGCAGTACAGGCTGGGGGATGAAGGGATGGAGAACAGCCCTGCTGAGAAAGACCTGGGGGTACTGGTGGATGAAAAGCTGGACATGAGCCAGCAATGTCTGCTCACAGCCCAGGTGGCCAACGGTATTCTGGGCTGCATCCAAAGCAGCGTGGAGAGCAGGTTGAGGGATGGGATTCTACTCCTTTACTCCACTCTGGTGACACCCCACCTGGAGCGCTGCATCCAGTTCTGGAGCCCTCAGCACAGGACAGACATGGACCTGTTGGAGCAGGTCCAGAGGATGGCCAGAAAAATGCATCGAGGGCTGGAACAGCTCTGCTGTGAGGACAGGCTGAGAGAGTTGGGGGTGTTCAGCCTGGAGAAGAGAAGGCTCCGCGGACACCTTATTTGCAGCGTACCAGTACTTAGAGGGGGCTTATAAGAAATATGGGGACAGACTTTTTGGCAGGGCCTGTAGCAATAGGACCAGAGGTAAAGGTTTTAAACTAAAAGAGGGTTGATTTAGACAAGATATAAGGAAGAAATTTTGCACAGTGAAGGTGGTAAAGCAGTGGCACAGGTTGCCCAGAGAGGTGGTAGATGCCCCATCTCTGGAAACATTCAAGGTCAGGCTGGACAGGGCTCTGAGCATCTGTTCTAGTTGAAGATGTCCCTGCTTATTGCAGGGGTGTTGGACTAGATGACCTTAAAAGGTCCCTTCCAACCCAAAGATTCCATGATTGTCTTGTTACAGGACACATCTGGGCCATATCTAGCTATAGTTATATAGTTGTAGCTTCTAGCTATAGAAGCTTTTGGGATGTGCCCTGAAAAATACCGATGCTGAAAAAAGAATTGAGTATGTTTTTTTATTGTGAGATAGAACAAAAGACAGTGACTTAATTTGTATGTAAATATAGGAAAGTAAAAAATACCACTGGAGCATGACCATCAATTAGTTACAGAGTGTTCCATGATGTCTGGATAAATTTCAACTCTTCTACCAAAAAGTTGATGGTAATAGAAACTACTTAAAAATTCATATTACATATACTTGTTTTTTTGTAATATTGAGAAATTATATTTTGTTTTTCTTCTTGCCCAGGGTTTGTAGTGATCAGTAAGCTATTCAGACTTTTATGTTAGCATGTTCTGAGCAATCTTTATTTGAAAAAATTAAATCCCAACAATTTTGTGTAGGTTTGTAAATGTCTTAACCTAGTTCTACATTAGCTATACATAGAAGACTATGGATATAGCTCTAATGTACCAGCAGATAAAATTCTCCTTGCACACTAGTAGTCAAAAGATTTGAAGAGTGCTCTCTAATATCATGCATTGTAAAAAGGAAAGCAATGAATACAACTCACTGTTAGTTGGTGAGTCTAAGCATGATGATAACTGTGATGAGGAACTCGCAGTGAACAACTCCTCATCTACCTTACAATATATGACATATACTGTCAGGATACATTTTTCTGATGGTTTTATTTCAAAATAGTAATGAACTTATATTAAAGAATGTTACTGGTTTCCAGTGGATGTCAAGTTCCTTGGGCTTAATTACTTTTTGAAATAAGCATCCTACGAGAATTTGCTTTTTAGGCCAGGGTACTGGTGTAACAAATCTGTCTGACTTCTGGACAAAAGAGTATGTATGCCCAGGATCTTAAAATATAGGTGGAGTAAATATGCATCTCTGCACACCCCTTTCAAGTAATGTTTTTTGCTTTTTTTTTTTTTTTTTTTTAAATAATTAGTTACTTCCTGAACTTTGGGATCTGAGGAACTGTCTTCTATTTTTGGTGTTTTCACAGTAGCAGTAGAGTTCCCATTAGCCATTCCTTGCTGTCAGGAAAAAACCCCAACTATTTTCAGTTTGGACTGCAGCCAGGCAAGATCTTCAGAGGGAGACTATAGCCTAGGGATACTTCAGCTAGTGTTCCATAGTCACAGATACCTTGGCCTCAGGGCAAGGTATAAGCTGTAGAAGAGTTTTCAGCTGATATTTGCCAGAATCAACAAGTTCAAATACCAAGTTGTGGAATTGCAGCTTTTATTGTATGATGTAGAAAACACCAGATTCATATTTGTGATTGGCTTTCTGGGTTTTCTCTAAATTATTTTCCATCAATGGAAGCAATTTCTTTCTACAAATCTCCAGTACCTAGCTTTATTGAAGCTAGAGAAAAATGGTGATACTATGCAATCACTTCTTAATTTTTCTTTTGAATTTGTAGCATTTTTGCAACAAATGAAACAAGATAGCATGTGATCTAGAATCCCAAAGTAAAATTAACAGTAGATTTACATTGCGGAATGTCAGTATAAATGTAGCACTGAAGGATGAACATTTTGTAGTCTCAGCTCCATAGGTATACACCTGAGTCATCTGTGTAAGTGAAAGGTTATTAGCTTTTAAAATATTTCATGCAACTTATTTTGATTGAAATAAAGTAGAGCAGAGCTAAATAAATTCCTGTATCCTAAACAACATTATTTCAGTTAATCTAGGACAGATGCTAATTTAAGGTAGTGAAGTTATAGTGAGATATTTGTATGGATGAGAGGTTCATCTGTCAGTAAACCACTGGGGATTGTGGAAGGCTTCATGATCTAATGTAGCATGATGTCATATCTTGGGAATATGAGTTTGAGACCTACTCATTTTCACAGAATCAAAGCTGTGTGTCAGGAATGCTATTAACACATCAAACATAGGTTTTCTAGAAATAATATTTTCTCAACTACCGTTGTATTTTAAAAATCCACTTGCTGCGAAGAACAAGGTCTTCTATTTTAGGCACAAAAAAGTGTACTTGTACCATGAGGTGTACTACTGAGGTTAGTGATGAGAGGAATAAATATAGTGCATTGGAAGGATCACAGCTTGAAAACAGTTAAAGCTGTGAATTCCTCACACATTCCCAGTTTTTGCATTTCTCAAGGGTATTACTTTGAATTCTGAAAAAAAAAAACCTAAAAAACTACCACAAACAAACAAAACATGGCCATGGTGTTATTTTTATTTTTGCAGATTACATTTTTATAGGCTAAAAATCAGGGCAAGCAGTATAACAACTGCTGAATATAAAGTATATTGGTACCACTGGGCTCTTTTGTAATTAAAACATGGAAAACATTTAACTTCATAGCACTGTTTTGCTACAATATTCTGTTGAGGCCTGGATCACCAGCTGTTTAAAATAAATAACTTTTTATTAAAAATGTAGCTTAAGATGCACATGAACAAAGTTTTGGCTATTTTATTGAAATTTTATTAGCTTGAGATTTTATCACAGGCTTCTTGTGTACATTCTTCATACTTCAAAACCGTCAGCAAGATTAGTATATGTATTATAAATCATGCAAAATATGTGCAATCTTTCTGAACTTTAAATTGGATTCCTTTGAGCTTTGTGAAAGTTCCGTTTTGGTTTTAGGAATTATAAAAGGACTCTTTTCTACATTTGTCTGAACTCAGCATCCTGTCACTGACAGTGGCTGATCAGCACCTACAGGAAGGTATGGACCTGAGGGAAGATAACAGCCGTGCTCCTCCCTTGTAGCTTGTCAGCTTCCAGTAACCTGTAACTCAGTGATTTTTTGAACCTAACATGGTATCGTGCTTCAAAGGCTTTAAAGCCTTTGACTGATACTTGCATGAACTTTAATAGTTGACCTTTGAACTTACACAAACTCGTGATGACTATGACTTTTTGGGCAGATGGCTCTGGTGCGTAAGTATGCACTGTGTGAGAGGGGACCGTGTCACGCTTGTTTTGACCCTCGTACTTGATAATTCTGTTCAGCATGTCCTAGCTCTTGCAATAAAGAGGAGTATTGGACAGCCATTTTGTATGTATAAATATAATCTGTTGTTTCAGAAAAGAATCTTTCAGGAATGGATGCTATTTCAGTACTCATACTCCTGTATGTAACATGAGATTGGTTTTTTGTTCCTTATATATTACTGTATATGTATTGAATTTTATCAGACATTTTATTTCTCAGTCACTCTGTCATGTAACTTTTGCGTAGCTTTTCACACTTGGATTTAATTTAATTCTTCGTTACTGCTTTCTTGTTACTTTAACAGTAAATTTCTAATTTTTTGAAAGTTTTTTGTAAAGCATAGCACCCGTTCCTAGAAGTAAAACACAGCACCCATTCCTAGAAGTACTATTGCCTTTGGCCTTTCCACGTGGCAATACCCTAACATTACAACATTTGCTACTCTCTTACATCTGTGGTTTTTATCTGCCTAGTATGTCTGCGTTGTTTTTTTTAAGGTCAGTCATTCCAGACAGTCCCTTCTTCGTTTTGGACTTGTATCATTAATGATGTTTTTCTCTGTTTTTTGCAGTACCCTTTCATTACAAACTGTACACTGTAGGGGGTGGGAAACAGAGATTCATTAACAAGAGCTTCAGAATGACCATAAAGCTATCATACTGTATACAATAGAGTATAATGAAGAACCGTGCTAACTTTGGGCTAATAATAATCTTGTTTATTTTGTTTTGTGGTGAATATATAAATTTTTGTTAGCTGGTATACTGACTACTTCTTCAAGTGAATGATTAAAACTGAAGTAGAAATAGTGAATATAAGAATTAAACATGTATTTTAGAACTAATGCATTCTCTGATCAGTCCTAAGTTGAAAATTGCAAAGATAAATGCCAAAATAATCAGACATAATCAGGTAGTATGAAGATTTTAACTTGACTGACTAGAGCAGAAGGATCTTTGGCCCAGTACTACAGAAAGTATTGACAGTGAGCAGGGGATTAGATCTATAACTGATGCAAATTATGAGTGGGAATAGATTGTCAGCAATTTAAAACTATCCTTTTGATGTAACTGTACTGCATATATTCGAAGTTGTAGACAGAATTCAATCATGTTGCACACCATTAAAGTATAAACTTAAAGTTTTGCCTAGCTAAAATCTGAGGCCAAGTAGGGACAGGTTCAATATGAAGTTGATACGGAGGATAAGTTGGTCCATAGTGAATGAATATTCAGAGGTTGTCAGAGTAACTTGTTCATTTGTCAACTGGTGATAGAATGTCTGAGGGGTTGCTGGTCAAGAAAAATAAGCATTTTGTTCAAATAATGTTTTAGAGAGCGGTCAAGAAGAAATATGATGACAAAGACTGACATATGTATATCTGTGTGCAGTACTGTAAGAGAAATGGATTGACAAGCGATCAGCAGTGGACATCAATTAAATAATGGAAAAGGCTGGCCAGTTGGTGAAAATGCCAGTTCTGTGGGTTGCTGTGATCAAAAGGAAAATAGATTGGTGGAAATTATTAGGAAAGGGATAAAGAACCACAGATAGTGAACTGTGATGCTGTATAAATCCCTATCACTCCCGTATCTTGAATACTGTATACACATCATATAAGATACCGAGAAAGCTTGACAGGCTGATCAAGAATATTGGAAAGGTTTTTGTATGAGGACAGGTAAGCTGATGCTTCTTGAAATACAGCTTATAGACAGGCTTCTGTATGATGGCAATCTGTGAAATCATAAATGGCATGGAGAAGGTGAATAAGAAATGGTTATGTGGTTATTCACAATAGAAATAAAAGGAAGTGTTAGTACTAGCACACGGAAATAAAAAAGGCAAATTTTTGAGAGTCAAAGCAATAGCATACCCATTTGCCTTAAAGAGAATTGTTTTTTATTCGAAAGTAAAGAATGGGTTTAGCTGTTATTCAGTGAAAGCAGTATGAATATGAAGGGAATTATATAAATATGTACTCGTATAAGTATTTTTCAGATTATGGTAGTTTACTCCTTCAGTTATGCATGCATGTTGAAACAAGTAAGTCTGCTTTCCAACACTTCTTTTTCCACCAGTTTTGTATTCCATGATACATGAAGGGAATTGTGATGTGGACAGATAGTACACAAATTGTACTTTCTCCTCTTTGTTGATACTCGTAGCACACTTTAACCACAACTCTTTCTTTAACTTGACCATTAACCAGCATGCCTTTTATTTTTTCTTCTGTATGTTCTTCTTTTTGAGTTTCATAGTCAAATAGCAACTTTGGTAGAGAACATAATGCACTACTTGCACAGAAAGACAAGATGAGGATTATTATTCCTAATAATAAAGGTCTAAGTAGATCCTTGACACAGATGGCTCTATGCATGAGGTTCCACTGAAATTACTGCTTCACATTGGCAAATAAATTAAAGGAAATGCTGTTTTACAAAATGTCTGACTAAATTTTAAATCTCGCAGCAGTAATGTTAAGAATGCCAAAAAATGCAGGAGGTTGAATCACTAGATGGTCTCCTGAGATCCCTTACAACCTAAATGGTTCTATAATCTCCTTCAGAATATTGTCAAAACCCTAAATTATGTTTCATTTTTAATGTGTAGTTCATGGAGATAGATTACTGATATTTACTAATATTTATAGTCCATTAATAATGGATTCTTATGCCAAAAGGCTCCTGGAATCTTCTTAACTGCAGTCTCTTTTCTTGTCATGAAAATGTTCACTTTTCATGAAGTTGTGAACTTATTAAAAGGGATCGCTCCAGATTTTGTCACATTGTTACTACAGACCCAAGAAAAGCGATCGTGTCATAAATATGTTACATAAATAAATTTTATAAATGGAATACAAAATTAATACCTCACTGGGAAAATTTTATCCAGTGGCTTCATGGAGTTACAATGATAAATTTTGTGTCTGTACTAACAAAAAAAACCCAAACATATATGCTTTGACAAGAGTTGAATATCATTATCAATGAGGCCAGGTTTGTCTTCAAACAAAATTTTTACCACTTTCTCGCCAGTGTAGCTTATGCTAGTTTGACAAACCTAAGTTCCAAAAGGTGTTTTTATATTTTGTGTATTTCATTATTCAATTTTAGCTTCCAATCCATGTGCTGCTAATGAGGGCAGAGGTCCATGTTCACACATGTGTCTGATCAGTCACAACAGAAGTGCTGCATGTGCCTGTCCACATCTGATGAAACTCTCTTTAGACAAGAAAACATGTTATGGTAAGTTTTCCTCCCAAATCCTGATAATTGTATTGATTTTAAAATTAGGAACTAGACAAATTAAGATACATAATCTTAAAAACAATCTCTACAATGCATTTTAATAATATATTTTAAAGGAATATTTAATTTTTGAGAACTGATAACTTATTCTAATATATGAGGTGTGTGGAGCTTCGATATTTATTGCCACAGCCATTTTTTCTATTGCTTATGTGCAAGATATGTTAGTAAAACTTATCTCTGCAAAACAGAAAGATTTATGCTGTAAAGTGCATCATCAGAAAATGATGAGTCAGGTAAGGTGAATAACAAAAAGGTACTTAATAGCTTAAATCTCTACCTGTTCTTCTAAAGTCTTAGGTTCATTTTCAAGGATTAGGAAAATAAAATGAAGAGCAAATATTAGACATGCAGCCTTGCAGGACAGTTTTATAAAAAATTACAATAAACACTCTTAAGCTCTAAAAGCCCTCAAAATGTCAAATAATTGTATCTGTTATCTGTAAAACCTTGTACTACATTACTCTTCTCAGTGTTGATTAATAATGTTTAGGAGATAAAAAAAAAATTTGTTATATCAAGGAAGGGGAAAAAAGTTACTGCTACTGTTCATTCACAGATATTTGCTCTAATAATTTAGGCTTTTGAGATAAGAGAGTTCTGTTTTGACTTTAATGTATCACCCTTTTTCATTAGTGGATTTCTAAATTACTACATTTAGTGTTTTCTTTTTCTTCCACCTGTTTGCCTTTCACTGCTTACACATAGGCTGTGGAATTTCTCCTGAGTTTTGTTGTTTGCAAAACTTCTTTGTTAAAGTGATAATCTTTTCCCCTGAGATACCAAATGTTAATATCTGTTACGACGTACAAATGAAACAGTATTTTTTTTTTTATTGGGATAAGTGGGGTAATTTTCTAAAAATATAATTATTTTCTCTTTAGACTCACACAAGACAATATTGATTTAGTGGTGTAATAACGTCTTGTCTAGTGTCCAGAATATATTTTTCCTATGACTTTTATGCTCTGTAACATACTTTATTTCTCAAATGTCACTAGGCTGCAGGTTCTCTAAGACATTAAATCATTCATATAAACTTTACTTATAAATTTGTAAAGTGATCTCAAATGAACGTCTTTGACTTCTGTTAGCAATGTTATGAAAAGGATGAGGAGTGATGTTTTCCTTGTTTTCTAACAGAAAGGAGGAAATTTCTTCTTTATGCAAGGCGTTCAGAAATAAGAGGGGTGGACATAGAAAACCCATACTTCAACTTCATCACAGCCTTCACTGTTCCTGACATTGATGATGTGACGGTCATAGATTTTGATGCTGTTGAGGAACGCTTATACTGGACTGATGTGAAAACACAAACCATCAAGCGTGCCTTCATCAATGGGACTGGCTTAGAAACTATTATTTCAAGAGGTAAATAGCATGACATTGAAGTAAAAATAATTCATTATAGATAAATGTGTGTTATAAATATGTTAAACTAAGAGTGTGCAAGTTCTTGTTAGGTATACCCATCAATGGTATTGGATAATTGATCTAGACAAGAAATCACAATTTTGTTTAGGATTCTAGTTAATTTTATTGAGTCATAATTCATTTTTATTTAAATTGGGATGTAATTATAACATTGTTTTTATACAAGATTGAAATGTATAGAAAACAATGGAAATAATATCTTCTGGGGATGGTAGAAAGAAAAAAGATAAAAAGCACAAAAACAACAGCATCTTGACATAGCTTTGCATTGAAGAATTTCATGTGGATTTCCTATGTCCTTTGGCTATCTGTGCTGACCTAATGAGGAAATCAGCTACATTGGTGTTATTTTTTATTTTCTGGTCCACACAGATCTTTCAGCTTTGGCACCATTGGTGAAACACATGATATGGTAGCTTTGTAATTTTGGTGATACTGGTGTTATGTATTTACCTGTTGTCTTCTTGCAACATGTGTCACGTTCAAACTGATTGCCATCAGGCTGTTTGCACTACTTGAATGCCATGAGGATAGTGGAGTCTTTGAATCCTGCATACGTTTGTTCTGTCGCTGCTTCAGTTCCCTCAATTCCTTTTTACTGAGCTTTTTCATTATAGGTAGGTTGCTTACAGCAATAAAAGGAAATTCAAAATACTGCAAACGGAAAATCATGACTGGCTGGGATTTTTCTGTAGTTAACACCTTCATTGTTCCTACACTTTTGCTCTGTACTTTGAATACAGAAACTTAATGGATTGTAAAGTCTACACCTGATTGCTTCAACCCTATGTCAGTAGCTCCAGTATTAAAGTGATACCATTTGTTGTCCTTGATAGTGTTGGGTTTTTGTTTGGTTGTTTTTTTCCAAACACTGTCAGTTCCTCTCCTGGCAGCACATGTTGTTATTCTCTTTTATAATATAGCTACTTGCTTGAAAATAGGAAAACTGTGTGACAGGAGCTGTCTGGAGCCAAATTTGGCAAACGCTGGTTCCTCAACTGTTAAATGTATGTTTCAAGAGGAAGAGGAGAAAAGAAATAAGTCAATTCTGTAAGATCAAACCTTTTACATTCTTGAAAACAAATAAATAAAAAAAAGGAAAATACTACTTTAGTTGATTATTTTGGGACTCCAGAAAATGAATTAAACCTCTGCCCCAGGTGCAGCTTTGGAAGAAATTTGTTTTGTAGTAACATATTTTGGGAAATCATTGGACAAATATGGCAATATCCCCACTTGACTATGCAGATAAAGTAATGTATTTTCTGTTGGCATTTTTATATGTCCCTTATTATCTCACAGACAATTTTATTAAAAATTGGATATGTTTTTAGTACCAAGAACAAGAACATAGAATGCCTCTTAAAGCTCTTCCTTACATCATGAGTTGAGATGCCCAAGAGTTGGGTTTTTTTTTTTTTTAAATGGTAGTAGAATAAAAATATTGCTTTAGTATATGAAATAGTGAAAAATCACAGAACTTGTCAGAAAGTTAATGAAACTTAAGGAAACATAGTGTGTGTGAGTGTTTATCGTGTTATTTCATATTTTTTTCATTATGATGGTAGCTTCTGTGGTGGAATATTTTGGGGGGGGGTTGCCAGATGTAACTTATTATATACAAAATTTGCAAAATCAACATGTTCTGGTGCATCAAAACATAAAGACTACTTATTATGTGTAATTTACCTCATTTACTTACAGTTATATTTTTATACTTATTGTAAGAACATAAGAAGCTTTGTAAGCACATGCTAATGGGATTCTTGCTGGATGAAGTCTTATGCCAATGTTAAAAAGATGCCAAAGTCATACTTTAATCTTTTTAGGAGTATGAAATGCTTGTCTTCTAGTTCCTCAAAAAAAAAAAAAAAACCCAAACAAACAAACAAAAAAAACCCACAAACCAAAGAAGACGGGATCATTTTAAAATGGGTCAAGGCTATGTATTTGGTATCCTGTGTTGCATTCTCTAAAGTTGGCAAACTTCCTAATGCCCGATCATTGTTTGACCTTATGTATATGCAAGCCAGTCCACAGCCACATCCATGTTACAATAACTCTGTCAGTGGAAGTAACCACATTAAGCTGCCAGAGAGATAGTGTACAAGCTATGAAATGTAATGAAATCATTAAATCACCCTTGGCCTGTTTCCTCATCTAGGAGAATGCTGGCCAATATGAACTATGCCAAGACAGAACGGCATGTTGGTATCTAGATCCTGAGCAGTGATTTTATACCCAGCATTTAAGGCAAATATTAACAAAAATTAACATTTTTTAAAATCAAAATCTTGCTAAGGAAGACTATCATGTAAAAAGACACTTGTGAAGTTACCAAATTAATCATAATCTTACTTGTGGTAGCAAAACATGAGTAATACTTGTGATGTGGGTTAAACCCAGAAGGCAGCTAAGCCCCACACAGCTGCTCACTTACTCCCCCTGGTGGGATCGGGAAGAGAATCAGAAAGGTAAAAGAGAAAACTCGTGGGTTGAGCTAAAGACCGTTGAATAGGAAAAGCAAAAGCTGTGTGCACAAGCAAAGCAAAATAAAGAATTCATTCACCACTTCCCATCAGCTGACAGATGTTTAGCCTTTTCCAGGAAAGCAGGGGAGTAAGTTGGAGTCTTCGAAGTCTTCAGAAATAAAACCAAAAACTTCTTCAGTTATGTATCTACTTATGTGCTACAGAACTATACTGTAGACCAGGGGTTTTAGTTCAGATATTCTGTACTGATCCTTCATGGTGCTGAAGAAGGAAGTAGGCTTTTAAACTTTGGTGTAGTTTTGTTTTGGAAAGCCACTTAATGTTCTATATATAAAGTATAACTTTAATTAAAGAAGTATGGACCATCATCTTATGTCATAAGTGATGTTTATGTTTATTAAATACAATTGTTGAACTTCCTAGTGGAGGCTAACTCATTCTACCTCATTATCTCTTTAAAGAAAAAAAAACACAACAACAAACCACAGTTTCTAACAGAGCACTGAGTAATAAATAGCTTCTTAAGTAGAAAAATACACTTCAAAAATTCAGTGTCTGTCTGGTTATTATTTTTGGATAATATGTTTTATGCTTATTTTTAAAGTAGTATTTATGGGGCATTTTTCAAATCTTCAGTGCAGTTTCTATGTTCTGACTGCAAGACTATCAGGCCCAAGAATAATAATTATTATTAATCTTTGGCAATTAATTTATAAATACATCTGAATAAAATATTGCACAATACTGTTAACAAACGATAGAAGAAACTGTTGTGTTGTGTTTTTTTTCCTCCAAGCCTGAGAAAAATCCAGAAAGAAAATCAAAAGAATAACTTCTTTCACTTTTTGCAGATATTCAGAGTATCAGAGGTCTTGCAGTGGATTGGATATCACGTAATTTATATTGGATTAGCTCAGAATTTGATGAAACACAAATAAATGTGGCACATTTAGATGGTTCCTTGAAAACCTCAATCATCCATGGAATTGATAAACCCCAGTGTCTTGCAGTTCATCCAGTAAAAGGGTAAGATATCTGTAGTTTTAATACATAAACTACCATAAATCTCATCAGAAGATTTCTTTTTTGTTCAGATTTTGAGTTTGCTCATTCTTTTTTCTTTCAAACTTAAAGTAAATACATGCATGTGAAAGATTTTGCTGAGAATTTCTTCAGTGAGTACTGCTTCCTACCAAAGCTTATTGTGGATTACATCATGTAATCAATAGTTGTATATTTTGCCTGCTTCTAAACTTACAAATGCTTTCACTACTGATGTATTAAAAATACTGTGTACACAAAGCAACATTATAAATATGTTCTTCTTCAGTAAGCTCTACTGGACAGATGGTAACACAATTAACATGGCAAACATGGATGGCAGCAACAGCAAAATACTCTTTCAGAATCAAAAAGATCCTGTTGGTAAATACCTTTTTTTCCTGTCTCTTTTTTAAGTATAGTGCTTTATTAAAGACATTATCTTGAAATGCTATTCAAGTATACCATGTTGTTTTTCATATGCTATATAACAGTGATAAGAACAGGCATAAAGACATGAAAAACACTGATGTACTTGTGTTTCACAATTTAATACATTTTTGGCCTATTCTAATTGAAATCTACTGTAGTGCGTTAAGTATAGTAGTATTAAATTCTAGGATGACAGTATACTAAAGGTGAAGGAGAAGAACCTATGTATATTTCTCAAACTTTAGATCATGGGTAAAAAAATGTAGAAAGCAGGGTTTTAGTAAGTTAGTGATATATGTGAGAGGATACTTTGACTGGAAATGTAGAACCTTCCTCACCAGAATCCCAGCTGCATGATCAAAAGATAATTTTGTTCTTAACTTTTCACATACAGAAAAGAGCAACAGTTGAGACATACATTTCCTAAAATGACTTAGTCTCAGTTTTAGTATTTGAGAATTAATATAGTTGATAAATTATGGCACTTCATTCAGGTCTCTTTCTTTTTGTAATTTTATTTTTTAGGAAGTTAAAGTGGCTACATCAATTGTTGTTGCCTTATCAATGGCCCATCAATAAAGTGATTACATTTTGAAGAATGTATGGGTTTTCATAACTGAATGCATTAAGCAGAAGTAAAAATTACTTAAGTAGTCAAATAATCTAATACATTTTACATTAGAGCAACATGACATGCATTTTAGACCCTAATTCAAAGAATTTTATAGAAATTATTTGGTAACTTTTGTTGTTGATTTTCTATCTCTCCACTTGAAGAGACAGTTATCTGTTTATCTGGAGAAAAAGAGTTGGTAAACTCACTAATTTTAAAGTGAAGCATAAACATAGTTAATAATATTAGTACAATATTAAGAAGTAAGGCTGTGTGCAACATTTTGCACTGAATATCCTCTGATCATAGGTCACAAGGTCCTAAGTTACAGTTCTTATGCTTTATGTTATTGAGTTTGTTCTGAATAGCAGTAAAGTCACTGAACCAAATACGTGATAGAACAGTAAGTACTATTTTTTCCTTGTAAGTATATCAGTACTGTCAAAGACTGCATGTGCAAATCTACCTAAGTTTTGTGACACTTTTCTTCATGGATATGTACAGTCTCACTGGTATCAGATGGGCTATTCACGCAATTAAATATTCCTGCAAGCCTTGCAGGAATGAGGATTGTGACATAAGTTTTTTACTTCACCGCAGAAATGCAAGTGAGACAATTTGTTTTCTTTCCATAATATTGGATTAATTTTTAACACCTTTGAGATCTGCTAAAAATTACTTGAAAAAGGTTATATTCCACATTGAAGGTTCTTATTGCATACTAATAAGATATACTGAATAATAAAGACATCGTAGAGATTTAATTGTTTTTACCTTCTTGAGAGTCTGAAAGTATGCTAAATTATAAAGTATGTAAAGTGTAGAATATGTAGTGTTTAAAGAGTATAGATTTACATATGTATGTATGTAAAGGGAAAGTAAAGCTTGCACCTGTCAATTACTGAAAAACCTTTTTATTGGTAGACATCTTGGCTCAGTTTTCTTGTCAGGATGGACATGAAAACAGATTCTGTTGCATGTCTGAGGAATGCAGTGCTAATTTTGAGTATTTGGGGAGCAATGTGAATGATCTAATAAGTAAGTTCACAGGTAGATTATTGAAAAAGACAAATATATAGCTTATTAGAGTTAAATATCCTGATAATTTATGGGCTTTTTAATTTTCTTGAGACATAATTTCCAAATTTGAAGAATGAGGGAAAATTTTCCAACCTCTGACCTGAAGTATGCTGATTTTATCTTAACTAATACATACTAGATATGACTTGCTAGTCCATTCTGCGGTTCTAAAAGGCTCAAATACTGACTTATACAGGTCAGTTGAAAAAGGAACTAGTCACTGGAGTTCCATTAAACTGCATTCTTAGGGATTCAGCATTAGTGCTTAATTTGTGAGACGGACCATTTGATCATTGGTGTCTTGAACTTATTTTCAGTTAAGCAGCTGTTTGTTATAAAACTCTAAAAATACAAACCATGCAGCCATTGGATTTCTTTTAAGGAAATGGCAGTTATTAACTTGTAGTGTATTGTATTCTTAGTAAGTTTTGAAATAGTTTGGATAAATAACCTTTAAAAACATACTGGATCACTCTCTCAGCTGTGTTCAAAGGATACCATAAATACGGAGGGGAGAAGGGGTGATTTTGAGTTGTGTGTTTTTTTTAAATTATTTTGTAGTTTAGTTTTGTTTTTTAAAGAGTTCAATCTTTTCTTCTAAACAAACTCAGTTTCCATTTTGCTCATGATTACAGTACGGCCCTATTTGCTGTTTTAGCTCTTGTTCCATTTCCCTGGCTCTCTACTTGAATATCCCTTGCTAATTTGTTCTTTCTTTTGAATAGAAGGCATAGTCTGCAAACAAAATTGTTGCAGATGTGAACCAAAAATCCTCTTGGGACTGGCTCTTGAAATTTTATCTTAGATTTATTTTGTTTGTTTTAAAAAATGTTATTTAAGTATGTATGTGCATTTAGCAAAGAAATAAACCTAAGCCTTTCCTAATTTTAAGCACTCTTTTTTCACCTGAAATTTAATCAGACATAAACAGTTACAGAAACCTTTCTTAAGTCACTAAGGTGGGAAATGTAAACAAAAAATTCCAAATACTACTCCTATAATTTATCTAAGCTGTAATAGCAGTGTCCCACATTTAATTGATGTAGGTAGTACGAATGAATCCCATTTTTTATGTTCTTGGAACACATAGTTTCCTTTAGCTTCCGCTGCTTTTTAGTGAACATTTCCACTGGTAAAAATAAACTTAGAGGAACATACCTCACTTACACAATAAGTATATAAAAAATGCTAAGAAGAGTAATTTGCTTGAACTTCAGTGATGCACCTAATTAAAATATCAAACTTGAGTTTCTGCTAGTGAAGGCTAAGATCTTATTGCATATATGGCTTTTAAGTTTTTGGAACCTCTGAGTATGAATTCCTGGAACAACCTTTGTGATATACTTTTTAAATAGTAGCAGATTTCTGGAAATTTGAGTAAGGAAATTAGAAAATGCATGTAAAAACAGTTACAGCCTAATTCACGGTAATTTTTTTTTTTTTTTTTTTTATTAAAGCACAAATAGAATTCTCAGAGAACTGTATTTTAAAATCCTCTGGAGTAGTTGTCCAAATTCGTTGTAGACAAATCCATGGTGTTGATTAGAAGAATATTTTTCTCAGAAATCTAGGGGTAGTGCAAAATGATAGGTATCACTAGAAAATGAAACACAAGAAACTGAAATAACTAAGGCAGTTTTAAATTATCAGAGGGAAGATTGTTCAATATTTTTGATGGATACAGTATGTTTTGAAAACTTTTCTGGTGTGGTGGAAGAACAGAGATGAACTACAGAATAAGATTATTAGTCGTAAGAGTATTAAAACTTTGGGGATGTGATTTATCATATTATATACAAGTACAGGATTACTTGTAATATGTCATATTTTAGGATTTTAAATAGCCTTACTTTGGTTGAAAGCGTCTTTTAATAGGTCTGTGGAATATACCTGAAATAGAATGCTATCATAATCTTACCAAAACAACTGAACATGCATTCTATAAATGTGCATTTTTATTGGGTATTTGAAACCCTTCAGTAGCCTGGTGTGAAGAAATATTTTTTAAAAACCTAGAAACAGCAGAGGTGTCTACTTTTAATTTTTTTTTTTTGTTGGAGAAGTAATTTTTAATGCATGTGTTGGCAAAAATAACTTGAAAGATGTGATGGATCATCTGAATATTTAGTGTAGTTCAGTCCCTTTCTAGGATATGTTTTAATTTCTGAGTAGAGCAATGTTTCAGGTATCTTGTTTAGTTGCTCTCTTTCTCCCTCATCTGTTGTGCCACAGTGGAGAATCTGGGGTGATCTAAAGAGGTCCCTTCTGACCAAAGTGATTTTGTTATCTACCATCTATATTTAAATAATTGGTTAACACATTTTTAAAACTTGAGTTTTTGATTTAAGGGGGTGAGGGAGAAGGGGGAGGATGGACACAAAAACGCAAAAACCGAGTAAAAAACCAAAAACATCCTTCCCTCCCCAAAGTGAGAACACTGACCTACATTAAGTTCTGAATACCAAAAGACATTGAAAAAAATGACAGACTGTACAAGAAAATAAAGAAAACCTTGCTACTTACTTTTGTCTTTTGTGAAATTAATAGCAGTACCTGAAGAGAAGATTTGGTCTCCTGAAATGCTCACCCATTCCAATACCAGTGGGCCATGCTTTAAGAACCCAGCTCAGTGAAAATGCCCTAAGCAGAAAGTATGTGGGGGAAAAAAGTTGTCAAGAAAACACATTTTCTTTTTTATTTTCACATGACTTCTAGTCTATATTCACTGAAATTCTGAATGCTGGATTTGTTTCTGACATGAGATGTAGCAGCATGCTCCCAGGGTATATGAATTCTTTCATGGATTCCATCTAACTGCCAATTCAGGAAGCTAGGATTAGAAGAAGTTGCTTTAAGACCACTGTAAAAAAAAGAAATTACACTATACCTCTCTGGAGAAAAAATTTTCATCTTTTTTTTTTTTCACTGTTTTTTAATGATACACCTATATTTTAAGTAATACATAAAAATTTGAAGATACCTTTCATAATATTAGACTATTTTTACCTTTCTTATTTGGGAGTAGGATGCCATCTGTGTAACTATTTCTCTGACTTATATTTTCATTTTGGGAAACTTTCAACTTACTAAAGCCTGATCTGCAGTCTATTCATTTGCACCTTCATGTCCTGTGGGAGGGAGGAATTGGAGATGGCTTTGGTTTATCAGTAGAACCAATAAGGTCTACATGCAGGAAGGATACATGTTAAAACAGGTCACAGTTCTTTCAGTATATTTTCTTTTACACCCTTTACTCAAAACAGATCTATGAGCTCAGCCTGGTGACTACTATCAATTCTCATCTAGCTGATGATTCTGGGCTCTTTGAAGCACTCTGAGTCTGATGCTTTGATGCTTTGTCTTCAATGGATAGGCCTGTCTTCCTTTAAGTTTTCTGAAGACCAAAACATGCAGTATTAATGAGACAGGTATTTCTTGGTAGTCAGTTAATGACCAGTGCTTTCTAGTCAGTGTTCCAATGGGCACACAGTGTTGCCATCTGCTAGCTGCTTACACAGTCAGTAAATTTTTCTTTCCTAAAATAAACATTTTCAGGTTGACTTTGGCAGCTGGGACATAAGGTGTAAGCCAGTCACCCACACTAGAAACATCATGAATGTCTGTGTTGCTTATGGGTAGTAAGTCACTTACATAAGGTGTAAGCCAGTCACCCACACTAGAACACATCATGAATGTCTATGTTGCTTATGGGTAGTAAGTCACTTGTTTTCATTAGTAAAAACAGGACGATTCCTGAAAGAAATCTAAATAAACATGCTCTGCCTTCATTAGAAATTATATGTTTTCACAAAGGTTGGTAATAGGTGGAAGAAAACAACAGGAAAATACTTTGGGAAGACAAAGGTGGTAGACTTAGGTAGAAGGAGATAGGAATGTTTTCCCTGTCAGTTGCTGCTGTATTTGGAATACCCATGTGCAGAACCACTAGTTTAATATTGCAAGAAGTAGAAAACCTGACAAGATCACATTGTAATTGCCGTGTGTATATTGCATTCACAGCAGCCCCATAAATAGATCTGTCTAGGTGAAGTCCGTGAGCAGGTGAGTGGTAGCAGGCAGGAGTTACAGGGAATGGCAAATGCTATCCACCTCAGAGTAAGGAAACCTATATACTTGTGTAGTACCATTGTAACCCATAGCAAGGTTCATCTATATTCCCAGGAAAGTTTCCTGTGCTAGACCCAAGTACTGCAAGTGCTGCTTTGTCTCCAAGGACTGTGGTGCTGTCTTTTTGCTTTGAGTAGTGCTTGTACAAACATGAAGACACCTGTGTGCAGAGAGATGCTGCGCGATCAATCTCTCCTGAAGCAACTACTCAGTATCCTTATCCTCTCATGAGCTTCTGGGTTGATACACTTGCAGAGAGGGGGAAAAATATCAGTAACTGTAAAGGAACTGGAAAGCTGTTTTTGAAAGTGGATGCCTTTTGGCCTACTGTGTCAAATGTGTGTAAAGAAGTAGTGGCGTGATGCCAGCAGTAAGTATTGCAGCACACATGGCACTTCTCTTTCCTGTGAGGGTTTTGAAGATAGATCTGACTTTCCACAGAGAAGCAGTTTACAGGATGGAAGAAGAGCACTGTACAATATCAAGAGATTAACCTATGGATTGAAGTACAGTATTTTTTGGCAACTTGCTGCTGGATACCTAACGAGTTCTGGGAAAAGTCTAGTATGAAAGCAAATTATTATGGCATGTATTGTCACCATGCCAAGCATATTTCACTGTGGAAAATTTCCTGCTACAATTACTTGAACACTTTTAAAGGATTCTAGAAGTCTGAAATACATTATCTCTTAGTTCTTTGCTCTTACTACCAGAAAATTATATGCTTTGTTTGTTCAGTAGGTTATTTTGAAAGTATTTATATTTCTACAGTTCCTTTGCTTCAAACTCCAAAGAACTGGTCATGAGGTCAGTTCACTGTGAAGCGAAATTAAAATTAATGGTATAAATTTACTGAGAAGTAGTATTAGGTTTTGGTATTTCAGCATTCTAAGCAGAGGGCTGTGCATGTAGGGAGAGAACAGACTTTTTGTAGTTCTGAATCACAAAAGGTATATATAGTTTTCTAAGTATTTATGTATTCGTAATGTTAGAATGTAAATGATGGCTTCTGGTTTGCATTTATTAGTAGTTAATGACCTCGCTTAGGACCTCAGTTCATTCAAGTAATTGTTCATTGGCAAATAATGCTCTTTCATCAGTCACTGATTTGATTTCTGTAGATGCTGGGAGAAATAAAAGGCAGAAATCTTTTTCAAAGCATGCATTTTCTCCCGCTATAAATGGCCAAGTTTGTTTGGTTTTCTCGATAGTTTTTTTCTTTTTAAAGTTTAAGTGTATGAGTGGGTAGATAACATAATAGTGTGTGTATATATGTCTCTTAAATACACTTTTATTATGAAAACAGATTAACACTAAAGGTATATTATCTGTTCAGCCACAGTTAAAGTTGTATACATTAATTACAGGTTTATCGATAGATTATGGGGAGAACAAACTTTACTGGATCAGTTCAGGAAATGGAACCATAAATAGATGCAACTTGGATGGTGGTAATCTTGAAATAATAGAGTCAATGAAAGAAGACTTAACAAAAGCCACAGCTTTAACCATTATGGGTAAGTCCAGTGGTAATAACTTAGTTTTTAAATGATTGGAAGCTAATTAATAGTGAAATATCAAATGCTTGGAGAATCTATTGTTGTTTTAATATAAATAACACATACAGTACATTCACTAGTGAGACTGTTTTGTTTGTGAAAAACATTTTTGTGTTTCATTGAACAGTTTACAATCTGTATTAGAAGTATATATGCAAGACTATATTTAGAAATATATATACACACAGAGGATGAAGATAACAGACTGATGTCTTATATTTACTATAAATGTGTAGTTCCTTGTAAAGCATGTTGGAAGGAGGTGTGTTATGCTCTTTATTACACAGAATTATCTATAACTTGTTTCTTTTGCTGCTCACTTCTTTCTACTATCGTAGTTCAGAGTAGCCGTAGTGTGTTGGATTGGCTTGCACGTTGTGAAGACTTCTTTGGGTTATGAATTGATGATTAATGATTTGGATTTTCATATGTCTGCTAATACTCTGTGTTTTAAATTGGTTGAAAGAAAAGTTCTGTTTGTTATACTTTGCACATTAGAAATGTTTAGAATGTTTAAAGACATCTGAATTATAAAAAAAAATCGAAGAATGTAACAGAAGGAAAAATTGCTAAAAAATTCAAGAAGTCTTTAAGTTGCAGGTGGCTGAATATTATGAGAATATTGCTTCAAATTTGCTGTTTCTTATATCCATCTACATCTCTTGGTCTTTGCTGGAGCTAGGATAGAGTGTGTTAAGAAATTCCAGTGTTTTGTATTATTCTAGAGATAACGTTAGAGGTTTCCACATTTCCTCCAAATGCTTTGCTCACCTCTGTTTTGGTTAAATTAAAAATTATATATATCTTGGATGTTAAAAAAAAAAAAAGTTCAGTTGATAAGTAGACTTTTGTTGGGATAGTTGACTCATCAACTACTAGTCTTTTTATAAAAGTGTTTTATTTGATTGATTAATTAATGTACATAAGTGCTTGTGAAAGTTACGCTAAATGAACTCCAAAGAGTTTATGCACATGGTGTAAATTAAGTCATATTTTAAAGTAGTAACTGCTAAAATACTTTTATTGTACACATATTTGCCCAGGATTTAATTCTAAATGCTGTCAAAACCTGTTGGAGAGCGAATGCTTTTATGTATGCATTCATAAACAAAATCAAGTTTTGTGTCAGAAGGATTCATGAATGTTAATATAGAAAAACTGTCTTTTGTTGATTTGGTTGTGACTAGGAATAGAATGAATAGATGACCTTTACTTTAGGGAGCTATTGGAAGTCTTTAATATGAGGTGCTATAAAGAGTGTTTGTTCATACTGTCACTGAGATGTCTGTTACAGTCTTCATCTGTAATTCACGGAAGCTACAACAGTGATCTGTCTGGGATATAGAATAAAGACTTTACCACTATCATTTAAAGAAGAGTGTTTCATGCTTGTCTGCATAAAAGTAGTTGACTTTTTGCAGGTGTGGAGATGCGAGAATATCTGCTGCATAGTTTTTAAACATATATATTTCTCTCTAATATTGCTGGCTTGGGAAGCTTTGTTTTTATGGATGATAAGTCTTCCTATTCAGAATTTGTAAACAAAACTTACCATGTGTTTGGGTTTTTCTGTTTGTTTTGCTTTGGGGTTTTGTCTTCGCCATAGTTGTGATAAACTGCAGTATGACATTGCGGTGTGATTCTGTGTATAAATCTGTTGGAGAAAAGTGCAAACAAAAACAGTTTTAGAAGCAGTACTATATGTGCTGATTGAAAAACATGAAAGGTTTCTGTATTCATTTCTCTTGTATGTTTTTATATTGTGGAACATACTGTAGGACCACATATGCCATCTATTTTCCTGAAGTGCTGGTGGCTTTACATCAGCTTCTTATATTCAGGCTTTCATGCGTGTAAAATGGATGAGGACAGTAAATCCAATATGATGCAAAGCAAGATAAGATATCTGTAATCGATAAATGATTGTAAATAATAATATATAAATAAAGAAGATTGAATAATTTGTTCTAATGTAAGATTTAACATGATAGCATGTGAAAAGTTATTCCTGTTGATCTGTTTGCCTGCAAGTTTTAATAGGAAGTTCTAGCAGGTGAATCACAGTCATTTTGATGTTTAATATATAATTTTTGGTCCATTTAATGAATTTTCTTAACTGCCTTTATTTAAAAACATGATAAACATATTAAAAACAACACAAATTGGATTGTTTCTTCTCTGTATATATACTAAGCTAACTTCTTTAAGCATTTGAATCCATCAGTGACTGAACCAAAAACAGATATGCCCAAGCTCTTAACTGTTTTGTGGCATTTAGGTTCCACTCAGTGCTATGGAGTCCTGTAGCCTTTTGCTGTCCTTTGCATTTTTCTGTCTTTTGCATTTAGTGCCTCCCTGGGTAAAAGCAGTATTTTGAAGAGTTTATAACTTTTTTTTAAGTATATGGTCGTGTCATAGTGTTGGGATATGTTTCCACTGGTGCAGAAAGAGGCGGAAGAGCTGAGTATTTTGAGACTCCCTTTGTACAGTAGTCTCACCAGGTCATACATTGGTCAGTTGTTGATCATCAGAAGCTTTATTGGTCTAAAGAGCTAAAACCAAGAAATGGCAGAGAGTATCTCGGTGGGCTGAGGGGACAGGGTGAGGTGGTTTTATTTGTATACTCACCATAATGTCATCATAGGTAGCACTTGTTCCTATGTCCCTCTTCCCCCTAAGAGTAAGTGCACTGAGGGAGAAAGGATGGTCAGAAAAATTGATGGATTTCTGTAAATCTACTATACCAGTGATCTCTTCCAGCACATCAGTCCTTCTTGCCTCTGCACATTTTTTTAGCTGTTTGCAAAGCATCTCCTTACTGGCATCTTCAGCAGCCATCAGAGTCTCCTTGTCAGAAAGCATGAGCTCCCAGAGGATAATCCAGTAGTCTGCGTCAAGAGCTATCGTCTTCCATTCCATCTGGACAGCCTTTTGCACAGAAAACTAATGCATCTTCTGACAATTTCCAGGGGGCTTTGCTGTATCTTGTAGTTTACATTCCTGAAGATTTTCCAGAACTATAAAAAGCTAATGACTGTCAGAGGCTTGGCCCAAGACCGACTTCTTTCTTGGTTTGGTAATCTCTCTCTGTTCTGTTCTGATATCTCTACGTTGTCTTGATGTTTGATTTTGTTAATTTCAAAATGGGAAGAGGAATGAGAAGTAGTTGGGCACTCTGCCATTATGTACCATGAGACGAACAATAAGCAAAGCTAGCCAAGTCAGTAAAGGTTTGGTTTTGTTTTTTAATATAGTTTATGGAGTATTTCAGAGCTTCACCAGGCAATGACAAATGCTATTTCTCTTTAGGACTACTCCTCAATCTCGTCATCATCTGTACTTCATTGCTTTCAATCTCCCTGTCTTACTGTTACACTTTAGCTGTTGTAATCTATTTGGATGTTACCACTACTGTTCCGTATGTTTACTGTTGTATAGTCCTTTCCAGGCTTTGTTTAACGTTTTCCTACTATTATACCCGTTGGTGGGAGCATATAGAAAGTAATGATAAGACATGAAAAAATAATGTTAGCAAACAAGTTGGTGTGAAAATGACTCTCAGGTTTATCCTTCAGAAAAATGGAAACAAGTTACATAATTCGCATCTTTCTGTATTTTGGTTCTTTCATTTATTGGTTTTCTACTCAGTAGTGTCAGTCATCTTTCTTTTTCCATATGCTGAGCTCCAAAATGCCTAGTCTTTTGGTGCCTGATTTTCTACATCTTTTTGAGCATGATATATATAGGATGAAAATTATATTCTATTTGAAAGTAAAGCATTTGAATGTATACAAAATCACTACTTTTTTCCATGCCCTTAAGCATACAAAAAATTAACTTTGCTGTTGCCATTCTGTATTACAAAGATATTGCTATAAATCTATGATAAAGTCACGTTTGCTTTTCTGCTCTCCCCACTTTCTCTTCAAATATATGTTCACTGTGGAATGTCAGTGCATGGAACATCAGTCATTTTTAGTTATTTTACCATTCAAAAGTTTGATCAACGCTAATTTTTTTCTGGTACTATGTTAACAGGTTTTTTTGTTGGGTTTTATTTTGTTGGGATTTTTTTTTGGTTTTGTTTGTTCAACAACCCCTGAATTTTCCTCTGGTCTTTTAGAAGATAATCTAATTCACAGAACCCTAGGCCCTGCATAATTTTCAATACCTACTACTGACACCATTTACAAGTTGATAACAAATATATCCATTGCTTTGGAAACTTAGGATGTTCTGTGTGAGAGATTCCGATTTTCTCATACAGTGCAGCGATACTCTTTTCAACATTAAGAAAATGCCTCCTATACTTCTGTTAAAGTTTAATATATCATATTCAGTATCTGATGTTAGTATTTTTCCTGGTAGCCAGTGTTTGAGTATGATCAAATTACATAGATGTATTTGGCATTCTGCATGAAGTCTCATTTCCTGCCTTCCAAGTTATTTAATGAAAATAGTGCCTTGACTGTAACTGAAACTGGTTGGAAATTTACCTTTCTGGTGAGAAGTGAATGTATTTCTGGATTGGTGAGCAGTCATTACATTAGAAGTCCTGGATTACAAAGGAACTTGCAGCAACATCTGATGTATTTCCAAGCTGGCATATTCTTTCTTGAATGACATATGGCTCTGAGCGTTGTTAGAAAAGTGTTGATTACTTACTGTAAGTTTGTAGCTGAGAAATTAAAGATGTTGAAGGCTTCTGTCAGCAGTTTTGGTGGAGGTATTTGAATGGATTTTGTATCAGGTCCTTGCAGAAATACAGTTTACACAATCACAAAATTCAGCCCATTTCACTACACAATAGGAATGTGTACATAGGTTGTGTAGATTGTATGTAGAGGATATAATCTGTTGAGCATTGGTCATTTTTTTTAGATACTCATGGTAGAAACCTCAAAGGAAATACTCCATTAAATATTTCATAGTAGCCTTTTTCTAGTTGCTGTTTACAT